CCTGAGCCCAGGCGCTTCCCTGCCCATGCGTGAGTCGCGAGTTGCTGCCGCAGGCTGCAGTTGGCACTGGGATTTGGACCTTTTTGACGTTCAGTAGCAAACAGGTGCGAGAAAAAAACAAAAACAGTTGGCATCTCTTGCTGCGCGCTGCTCCAAGGGCATTCACGACCGCAAAACCAGTGACGTACCCTGTAACAGAACTGCCGGGGCAACGGCGTGGAAGCTGTTCCTCCTCGCACCCCGCATGCTGCTTGCGCGCACCGAGCAACAAGGCTCGCAGGGTCGTGCCGAGTTGCTGGGACGGGCCGCAGCATTTCAGCAAGGGGAGTGGCTCCAGCTGATACAAGCGGCACGCCGAGTCAGCCGACCAACACGCGACAGCACCAGGCATGCGCGAAGGTGCGAAAGGGCGAACTTTCACGCGCACGTCAGGTGCTTACTGCTTGCGACCTGGCCCCCGGAAACGAGGCTACGTGGGCCGCTTTGACCGACCCCGCACGCCGTCCTCCCGAGGCACGGACCGCAATCGCTCAGGACGTCCTTCAGCACTAACCGTCCCAGCCGGTGCACCTCAGCACGCGAGCAATCGCCGCCGCCCTCCGCTCCGCACGTCGTGGCGGGGCTCCCGGCCTCTCGGGCATGCGAGCGGAACACTTGAAGCTTTTACTGCAGGATGGTGAGGCCATCGAGCTTCTGGCGGAAGCCTCCACGCTTCTCGCGCAGGCTCGCGTGCCAGCTGACGTGTGTAAGGCACTCGCCATGGCTCGCCTGACCGCTTTGCGCAAGCCCGACGGGGGCGTGCGTGGAATCGCTACCGGCGACATGTTCCGCCGTCTGGTTTCGAAAGCGCTTGCCAGGGAGTGGGCCGATAAGTTCGACCAGGCAACGCGGCCATTCCAATTTGCGTTGCAAGCGCGAGCTGGAACAGACGCCCTCGCAACCCACGTGCGTGCCGCCCTCGCGATACGCAGAGGCGCCGTGCTGGTGTCGCTGGACGGCCGCAGCGCATCGCAGCGCCTACGACAGCATGTCGCGGGCGGCCTTTCTCGGCAAACTCCGCGAGGTGGCGCCGGAGTTGCTCCCCTTCGTGCGCCTGTTTTACGGGAGCCCCTCCCGCTACTGCTGGTGGGACTCCGCTGGCCGCTGCCGGGATGTCCCTCAGGGTGAAGGGTGCGAGCAAGGGGACGCCCTCGCTCCCGCGCTTTTCGCACTGGGACAGCACGATGCTCTCCAACAGGCGGCAGCGGCGCTTCACCCAGACGACAGCCTCGTCGCTTTTCTGGATGACCTGTATGTTATCATACAGCCGTGTCGCGCGTGAGCCGCCTTGGACACGACCGTGCACGCTGTCGAAGCCCGGTGTGGCATCGCGTCCAATTTGGGCAAGACTCGGGTGACCGCCGCCGAAGCAGGTCCAGCTCCGCCCGGGATTGCGGAACTGGGCGATGAAGTGTGGCGAGGCGACAAGCCAGACGCCCAACAGGGTGTCGTCGTCCTTGGCTCGCCCGTGGGCCACCCTGCCTTCGTGCAAGCATGGGCCGAGGATAGGCTGCGCGCCGAGCAAGAGCTCCTCGACCAACTGCCCAAGCTGCCAGACCTACAGTGTGCATGGTTGCTTTTGCTAATGTGCGCATCCCCTCGTGCGAACCATGCCATTCGCACGATGCCCCCTTCGGCGTCTGCGACGTACGCGCGGGGACATGATGATGCCATATGGGCCACGCTGCAAGCCATGCTCGGCGGAATGGGCGACGCGGAAGCCGCTCATGCGAGGCAGGTCGCCGCCCTGCCAGGTGCGCTGGGCGGGCTGGGGTTGCTATCCGCTGAAGCGATAGCGCCTGCAGCCTACTGGGCTTCCTGGGCGGCTGCGTTGCCTGCAATAAAATGCGCGCCTGCCCTCAAGCGCGGCCACTTATGCGCGCCTCCTCGAGTCCGACGCCGGAGGTGGAGCGCACTGCTTTGCAGAAGCAGCGAATGCACGCCGTACCTTGCAGGACCAAGGATGGAGCGATTGCCCAACATGGCGTGTGCTCCTCGAAGGAGCCCGTCCTGCCCCGCCTGCAGCCCCTGGTGCCGGGGACTGGCCGCACGGCTGGCAGTACCACGCGTCGCGGACCCTTACCGTACACTCTCGCGATTGCGTGCTTCTGCCTTCCTTGCCGCCCAGTTCGCGTGCACTGCTCCGCTCCCAGGCAGGGCCGCATGCCGGAGCGTGGCTCACCGCTGTGCCGTGCGACCAGGCAACCAGCATCCCGCCACAGGCCATGCTCATCGCGTTGCGACGACGCCTTCGCCTGCCCCTGCCTCTTTGCCCCAGCCGCTGCGGCCCCAGCCCCGGATGTGGTGGAGCCATGGACCCCTTAGGCGACCATGCCCTAGCTTGCTCGCGGACGGGCTTGTTGGCCAGACGTGCGAAGGTGGTCGAGCGCGCCTGGGTCCGCGTGGCGCGCGAGGCCGTAGGACCCGAAGGCCAGGTCGTGCCACAGCAGTGGCTCGCCCACACAACTGCTCCCGGCGTCCCAACCGAAGACCGTCGGCGCCTTGACCTTGTCGTCTACGGCGCCACAGCCAATGGCGGGGCGCTGTGCTGCGACGCGACACTGGTGTCACTGGTGTCCCCCCTCACGAGGACAGGGCACCCGCATCCATGCACAGTGGAAGTGGACGGGGCGGCGCTGAAGGTCGCGGAGCGGCGCAAGCAAAGCACCTACCCGGAGCTCGCGAGGGGCGGCCCGCAGAAGCTACTGGTGCTGGGCTCGGAAATCGGAGGCCGCTGGAATGCAACAGCGCAGCATCTCGTCCGCGACCTCGTCCGCCTCCGAGCTCTCCGTGCGCCGCCCGCACTGCGTCGCGCCGCGTGCTCTGGGTGGGCGCGACGCTGGTGGGGAGCCTTGTCAGTCGCAGTCCAGCTCGCCGTTGCAGGCACGGCTTTGGGTCGCGCGTGGCCAGCCGTCCCAGCGCCGGGGCCGGGCGATGGCCCAGCACTGGACCGTGTGCTCGACCTCGCCGCTGACGAGGCGCCCAGCCGCCTGCCCCTGCGGCCCTAAACCGGGACCGCACGCAGTAATGTGATGCCGTAGGACTGTCGTAGCTACCGGATCCTCTTGCAGTCGGAAAAGTCCGTTGGAAAAAAAAAAAGGCAACAGTGTTCAACCGGATCTGATGCTTGGGATGATTCCGAAAAGGCGTTCCTACAGTCGCCTTACTATGCCGGGGTTTGCAAAAGTCATGGGCGGTGCTCTTGCCCGAAAGGTAAAAGCTTCCAATGCTTCCGCGCGCACTCAGTGCACCGAGCGCAGAGGGATGTCGCAGCTTGCTCGGAGCTGTCGGTGCACTCTGCGTGCGCGGGGAAGCATTGGAAGCTATAGCATTTCGGGCAAGAGCACCGTCCATGACTTGTGCAAGTCGCCATCGAGATTGAATGACTTTGTGCTCGCGTGCGAGACCGGGCGCTGGAATGACGAATCGCTCCTCCTCATCGCACAGCTCGTTCGCCTGCGCGCCTTGCGAGCCCCCGCTCCGCTTCGGGGAGCTGCCACCCAGGGCTGGTGCAGGCGTTGGTTGGGCCTTTCAAGCGTGGCTGCGCAAAACGCGCTTGCTGCCACTCTGCGTGAGCCGCCCATCCACATCCACGCCCCTATGCCTGGCGCGCAGGAGCCGCCTCTGCAAGACGTCCTGCACGATGCGTGCCCGCCTTTGCCCAACCGCCTGCCGGCGCGCTAAGCCGCTGTGGCCGTAGTTTGCAGGTGCACTGGGACCGCGTGTGGATCGCTCGAAAAGTCCGTCGAACAAAAAAAAATTTGACTCGCGGGCCGCTTCCTCTCTGTTGATGCGGTCGGTGTCTTCGACCATGCTTGGTGCCGCCACCGTGCACCCATTGCTGCTACGCCCACCAGTTCTGTGGCAGCCCCGGCACCTACTCTTGGGTCGACGAGCAAGTAAGTTCTGGCAGGAAAGCTCGGCTTGCACCAATGCGTTGCATGCGACGCCGCACTCGCGCAAAGCGCGCATGACAGAAACTTTCCGCATTCAAAGCTGCAACATCTTGGAAATGGAGTTGCCATTGATGCAGACGTTGTTGCCGATGATCCCAAAGCTTCCGCGAACCCACCAACCCGTGCCACCCTTCGTGCGAGTGGGCGAGTCGAAACCCGGGATTTTGGTGCTGATCATGCGCGCACACCCAGCCAGCAGCAACACGAGCGTTGAAGGGCCTCAGCGTCCAACCCGACCCATTAACATTAACCATCATTAACCAGTGCGGTTCGCGGGTGGGGCTTGCCGTAGCTGAGAGGGGTTGGAACGGTTACGATCTGAGCCCCACGTGTTCCAATGCCATGTTGAGAGGCTGTTGGCGTCCGCCGTCAGCGAGTCGATGTTGACCTCACAGCCAATACAGCGGCTGTGGCTATGCGCGATGCAAGTGGGGGACGGTCGGGGAACCGTTTCGCGCGATTATCGTGGCTACCAGACACCCGTGCGAGCCCCAAGTCAGCTTCAGGTGCGCCCTGCACCAGACACCCGTGCGAGCCCCAAGTCAGCTTCAGGTGCGCCCTGCAAAACCTCTGCACGGCACACTTCGTGCAGGATTTCCTGCAATAGAGGGTTCCAGCAGGTTGACATGCATCAGACACATACACACACACACACACGCATGGTCTTGGGTTGCCATTTGGCATGTGTTCTAAAGCCTGTTAAAGGTTGCAAGACAACACGTTGAACCGACGTGGGTTTTGGCTCAAACCATTTGCAGAGCATCCGCGATGTATTACGATCCAAAGGGGCCGTTGTGCGCGTCAGGTTCTACACTGCCCCCTTTCAGAGTACATGTGGCAAGTGGTGGTGAGCCAGGAAGTATTGCTTTTCCTGCGTTGTTTGCCACTTCATCCCTTTATTTCTGCGACAACTGTTCGAGAATAGTGTCGCGAAGGGATTTGGCTGAAGATGTGGATTCATACTACTGCCCGCACTGTTTGGAGAACATGCCTTCGAGTGAAGCCATGTTATGCGGCATGAGATGCTCGAAGTGCTGGGAGTGTCCTGTTTGTTCTAGTACGTTGACCCCATGCATAGCCAATCCCAGCTCTAAGGAGCAAACATATCATTTTGCATGTAGTTTCTGTCGATGGAGTTCTCGTGGTCGTCAAGAGGCCGAGAAGCCAGAGCAGCTGATCACACAAATCGTCGCTTTAGAAAGGGAGAGCGAGCCGCGACAGAGAATGCTCGCAATGGTCGAGGCATTTCGCACCAAGGCACAAGATCAACAGCGTGAGAAGGAATTGGCACAACGGTTGAAACGACGGTCGCTGACTCGAACATCTTTTTCATCTGCTTCTTTGACGGCTTTCGCTGCGCGCCGTTTTAGTTCAGCTGTATCGATGCGAGGGAGCACGCGCTTGTCTGCAATGGGCAGCTCGGTCCTTTCCTTTGGAAGTGGAGAGCTGGGGAAGAAAGTCTCAGGCCCGTGGAGCATCGACAACTTAGAAGCCAAGCTCGTTGAGCAAAGTGAAAAACAGAAAGATTTGCGAGCTGACGCATCCTTGGCAGTGTCTGCCAAAGAGGCGCAGGAGCCTGGGTCAGACGCAGGGGCCAAAGACAGCCCGGCGAGACGATTCAGCTTCAGTGGCCATGCTTCGTCTGACGTTCCTGTCTTGGCGGGCTTGTCTGTTCAAGAAATCATGCGTGCGCACACAGAGCCTTTGGCGAGACTACCGGGCCGCACTTTGTTGGCCGAGCTGCAAAGCAGCATCGATTCAGATGCAAGCATAGACAGTGAAAGCGCTGGCGACTGTGCGTCGCTTGGAATGCGTTTGCTTCAAGTTTCTTACGGTTATCATGGAATTCCATCGGATTCTGCAAAGCCGCAGCTTCAGAATATTCTTCGCAGAGGTCAGTCGCAGTTGGAAGCTCCATTACAGCACAAGAATGCTTGGAAATTGCTCCCTGTTCGGAAGCCATTGTTAACCAAGCGATCACGCAGGTGCAAGTTGGTTTGCAAGCCTGTAGGCGAATCTGAGGTGGCGAAGATCTGTAAGGGACTGGTTGTTAAACCCAAAATCAACCCGTGTGCAAATCCACCGTTTCAGAAGAACAGTGTGGCTTCCGCCATTCTTCCACGCATCATTCCCTGGAGCTGTGGACCTGGACCCGGTGAGGGTGACATAAGCCTGGTGTTCATCATGGTAAATCCTATGGACACGGATGTTGAAATCGATTTCGATCCCATGGCGTTCAACAAAGAAGCCACGAATCTTAAGGAGACTTTTGCCACGAAGCCTTGGCAGAGCTTGCTCGCGGGACAGTCCGTTCATGTTTCGACACCGGCATTTTCGACCATTATTCCCAAGTGCCTTGATGAAGCATCGAATGTTTTCGATGAAGATGTCAACCAATGTGCTGGTAAAGACAAGCCCGAGATAATTCTGCAGCGGAAGATGAACAAGATTTTGGTGCGGCTTTGCTTCCACAAGAAGCAGACTATCACGACTTGGGAATTCTTCACATACTTGAAGATGAAGTTTCAAGTTTCTTTTAGTGACACAGACACGAAAAGTCACGAGGTAGAGCTTGTCCTGCGCTTCGGGCCAGAGTGTCCGATAGATTTGCCGCAACAAGGACCGAGCAGTGCAAAACAAGTCTGAACAAAGAGTCTCACCATGGGCATGCAGCATTGAAGCATGTGGAAAAGGTGCCCTTGGCCGATCATGAGAAATGCAAAGAAACAGCCTGCGTGTTCAGCCTCTGGTCAGCCTGCAGCATCTGTGGCCCGGTCAATCTCACGTCCATTGAGTTTGGTACTGCAGGCCAGCGCGGATTCACGAATGAAGGGGGAGTTTCAGCTCTCACTTGAAAGCAATTTTGCGCACTTATCGGCAGACCTGTCACTGTAGATCACCAACTAGACTCAGTGGTCGTTAGGCCGGGCATGTCGAGGGCATGATGATGCCCTTCAAGGCAGGGAGCGGTTGAGCTTGCACACTACTCTGCCATGGCAGCACTAAGCCGCCTTTTTCAGCTCGACAGGTCACAACTGCATCTGAATTACCAGCATGCCTTCACGGGAAAAAGGCGGTGCACGTCAAGGAGTTCCGGTGGGCACGAAGTCTTGGGCAGCATTCGCTGCGGGCATGTCTTGCTGCACGAAAGGAATACAACTACTAGCACTTGCAGACAGCTCTACTGACAAAGCCTTTTGCTTCGAACCAGACAAGCGCCTTCGATTGCAGATTCCTGACATGGCGGACGTCGGGGAGTGGCAGTGGGACGCAGCAATAGCGAGTATCAGTACCATGCTGTTCGATTGAAGTTTTGTACATGCCGCCTTTGGCAGGGATTTGGCGTGGGACGCTTTCCGCATGCTGGACGCTTTTGCAACGATCCAGCATTCAGTTTTGAATCATGAAGGAAGAGATGACTCCTGTAGAGAGTGGTTCGCTGCTTCTGATTTGCAGCAAGGTTCAGACGACTGTTTGGTCAATCTCTTGCAGAAAGTTGTCGGGCCTGATGGGGTTCTCGTTTGGGACGGGGACGAGTTCTCTGAGGACTGGTTCATGTCAGATGCTCTAAATTTCAAACTTGCTGCATTTCTCATCAGGTGTAGCAGTGTAGCTGGCGCGTCAGTCCTTCCCAGCAGCGAAGGACAGCTTCACCCGAATTTTGGACCAGGCCCAACCAAATCGTCCAGCGCATGCGATGGAAGCACGCTGCATTACTGTTTGCATCCTTGCTTCATTGCCGTGCCCAGGCTTTGGCAACTAGCAAGATTCCTGCGGTGGCGTTCTATTGGTCAAGTCTCGAAGCTGCTTTCCGAAGCTCCTGGCAGCACCGTGCGGACAGATTCTCCGGCGGCCTGCATTTGGTGCTTCTGGAAGATCCGCCAGGCAAGCTGAGCTGTTCACGACTCACCTTCTTCTGCCTGCCGTGTGATGTGCGAGAGCGCAGTAGTTTCCCGAAAGCTGATTCTCGAAAGAGGACTTGCTGTGGGCTGTGATGACAGCTGGGTACGGCTCGGCCTTGACGCACTGCACCTGACGCGAGCAGAGACGGTGTTTTCGCTGGGCGGTGGAGGCTTGACCACTTCTGACCGAAATCGAGGCAGAGAAGATACTTGGTGAACATGTGAATCCACCATGCTTGTTCCTGCGGCAGGCGTTGTGGCAAAGGAGGCTGCTGAATGCAGCCGACATGAGCAGCTGAAGCTGGTGCAGTGGTATTTGGTTCGTATTCCTAGGCAGGACGACCGCTACATGTATACCCGTATGTGAACAAGTCTGGGACCTGCAAAAGTTTGAATGGCCGGAATGTTGGTAAGCCCATAATTAATGGCCTCCTGAATTCGGTCTAATGCGATTTTTCCGGCGGGTAGGATGAGTCGAGAATCATCAGAGATGAGCAGCCGTACTAATCGAGGCAGTGAGGTTCTCGGGCACAATACACAAATTAGCATCCATACTATACCTGCTTCATAAAACAGTTGCAACATTATGCGCAGTCGTGAGTGTAAACTCTTCTCACTCATTTGGTATGTACTGTGACTTAGACGTTTGGCTCAGTAAGTCCATTCGCTCATTATTTGCGCGTGCTGCCTTGTTGCGCCCTTGTACTTGTGCACAGGTTGAGTGAAGATATGACTGATTTCGGGGCTGTCCACGAACAACTTCAGTCAGAGGGCTGGCCCAACATGGAGCTGGTTCCAATTCCGAGCTAGCCAGTCAGCGATTCCGCGCCGTGTGCAAGCAGACGACGTGAACATGACCAGCTTCGAGCGAAGGGTATGTGTACAAGACGTCGGCTACAACACATCGCTGGAGCCGGTCAAGACATGGTGGGGCTGCCCGAACTAAGACGGGCTTCTCGATTCAGCTCTGTGGAGCAGAAGAAGGGCCGTTGTCTGAGAAAGTGTTCAGTCGCAGAGTTTGCGGCATGAGCCAATTCGGGTATCTCTACAGCGTTGAAAAGTCATGCGTGCGTGCGTGCTTGGAACAGCTTTAGCATGCCTCTTTTCTTTGCACGCATAGCTTGTCAACCACCTGTTCTCGTGCATGGCCAGATCTCAAGCACTGCACGGTCCGTCAGCGAGCAGAGCTGAGATGAACTGAGTGCTACCAGTCATGTCTTTGCGCATGCAGCGCCGCCTGCGACTCCAAGCTGGGAGGTGGGCGCAAAGTGCGCGCGGCTTAGGGCCTTAGGACCTAGGGTGTGAGTCAGCCAGCACTCCGGCTTGGTGCTTGCACTCAGGTCATCGTCTGTGGCATCGCCACTGCTGGGTTGACGAAGCTGTGCTTCACTTCGCTCAGCACTACCACCAGTCGTGACAGCTGCCGAAGCAGCTGGTACAGCAAATGCTTGTGTCGATCGGAAGAATGCACGCCGCAGCTCTTGTCCCCACGTGCAAGTCTTCTTGTTCTTTGGTGTTCATGGGTTGCTCGCTCGTTTGAGGTAAAGGCTTGCTGCAGCATGTGGCAGTAGCCGCGTCTGCAACGACCGCTGCTGACATGCAGAGGTTGTTTGACTCACTAGCCGCTAGCCCAGCCTTCGTGCTGACGAAAGTGTTGCAGGCAGTCCGATGGACTTCTTCAAGGAGCCTTTCCTGTTGACGTTTCTGGAGTGTTATCGTGATGATGTGCAGCGGCTGTCTCAATGTGCAGCTTTTGCAGCCTGCGCAGCAGCCCATGCCTCTCCCTGCAAGGAGAGCGATTTATTGCCACCTGTTCCATCAAGCTCGTTTTTGCGTGTGTGAACATGCAGTGTCGTTTTCCACATGCAGAACAATGAGGCGATGAACCGATATCGAATCAGAGAAGGCGGCGAAGCCCAATTTGAGCAGCGCTGGGGTAGCGCTGACTCCTCAATTGCAGGCTGCTTGTGCTGGATGAGCTACCGTGCAGTGACACAAGACACGCGGAAATGGCGCCATTGTTCAACTGCTCATTGTGGGTCCAAGGCTTGGATGGATTTCGATGGTTCTGCCTTCTACGACGAGTGCCAAGCACACCTAAATCGACGGGAGCGCTCTCCGCCAGCTGGCCGAAAGTCCAGCAGTCGAGTTTCGAGTTCCATTCAAGCGAATCATGGTGTGTCGCGCTCCAATCTAGCTCGGCCGGCTTAGCAACAACTTTTGGCTCGCTAGCAATGGCGTTCAAGCATACTTCCAAATGCTCGGTGCCCCTCTTCCGGTAGCCGTGGCTACGGCTAGTTATCTTTTCATGGCGGCTGCATTCGTTCACCGCGATTGCCCAAGCACCATGTCGTTCAACAGCGAAAGTAGCCGGACACAAGTACCTCAACCTGGACGAGTTCCCACGGCTCTCCGACAGCAAGACCCGTTGTGCTTGAATGCATTACTTGGGCGATTACAACCATGCTGAAGGTGCAAAGAACAGGAAAAGGAGGATGGCCGTGCGGCGGTGCGCCCATGTGGGCAGCAACGGCCAACGTACTCCTGTGGTTTTTCAGCAGATCGGCGTGGTGGACCGCGAAGGACATCCACATCATCCACCCGAAGAGACGAGAAACCGATCCTGGTGTCGCACGTCATCTCCCAGCATGTACGTGTGCCAGTTTGCTGCTCGGCATCCAGCTCCTCTGGGGGCGATTGTCGCGGCGGACGATCACACTGCGCCGGGAGGGGTGGGGTTTGATGTCAATGTCGCACCGAATGACCACGGAATGGCATTGGAGATGGTTTGTTAACATTACATTGCCATTGTGGCTTGTCTGTAGCTATTGGATGGCGGGTGGTGGACCTCGTTTGGTGCAGCCTGGTGAGGGCGAGGAGCACTGAGGACGGTTGACCCGGACTCTGAACCACAGGCGGAAGTCTTTACGGACCTTTGCGAGACGTTGCGGGTGGTGTCAACCTTCGACCTGGAGTTGACGGTCAAGTGCAGGTGCTCACAGACACTTCGCAAGGAATCCAGTGTCAACAGAAATCCCCATGGCGTTCCACCAGCCCCACGTCAATCAGCATGCGGCATAATAGCTACTGGCAATCTTCCGCAGGAAGCTGGTGCAATGGTAGCACAAATAAGAAAAGCCACGATCCATGTTGAGTGCCAGAACCTGCACTGTAGCGATCTGTAGCGTACCGTAGCGGACGATGAGATGCATTGCCGCAACACAAGCTTCAAGGCCCCCTAATTTTTCGAGCCAGCTTTTCTTGTTCCTCATTTTGACGTTCCTAGGTTTAACCAGCCACATGAAAAAAAATCCCGCCAGACGGTCGCAGGTGCAAAATGCCCATAGGTTACAATGAACTTCTGGATGGTACTTGTATTTTACAGTGCCATACCCCACGTTGGACCGCAACAACTTTTAGGAGGGCCAGGCAAACTGGGGGACCCCATGTTTTATGCCAATTTCACTTGGCTTATCATGTGCTCCGTTTTGTATTGGCGAGTGGTCACGAATGTAGCTGGTGCACCGGGTGATTTACATTTACGGCTACAGGAGACTCCAGCCTTGTTTTTGTTTTTGCCCCGCTGAATCTTTAGCCATCGAAGCCTTGTATAGAATTCCCCCGTGTGTATGATCGTGCATGTAGTTATAGTTTCCTTCAACATTTTGAACCTGTTTCCCATCCTGGCGCTTCCGCCGATAATTCATGTTTTCTCAGTGCGCTGGCCCCACAGAAACAGTTCCACCTGTGGACACGCATGTCGCATCGAGAGAGCCAGTGAGAATTTCAGCTGCACATGTTTTCCTGCGATGGCAGTACGTGTAGTCGTCGTTTGCCGGCGTGGAGAGAATCTGGAAGAATATCCCACAACACATGCGGCAGAGACGGAGGTCGTCGACACAACGCAGAATCTTGTGTTGCTTCACGCGGTCAACGAACACACCAAGAGAGTGTCACCGGCCCGCCCTTGCTGCGAAGAAACCCGGCAGTAGGTGAGTATTTTTGATTTTTGTCAAGTTTTATGTCAAGCTTGAATTGCGAGTAAGACAAGCTCAACAAGTGCTAGCACATGTTGATTTTGGTGAGCAGACTCACGGGGCGGAAAGTTTGAGCATACATTTCCCACAAGCGAACATGCGATGGTCCGTCATGTCATTGCAACAGTAGATGACATTGGCTGAACAAACGAAACTCATGCCGAAGTTGCCAGTGCATCCTACACCAAAACTGCGTGTAGAGAGTGCAGGAGCAACCACAGATTGCACACCATGCATAGAACTGTCACGCGAACAGCCGCAATCTTGCATGTTGGAAGCTAGCTCTTGTGTGCATTGCCTTCGTGAGACACGGTTCAAGGTCGTATACAACTACGATGACGAGCAGTTTGAAGACGAATCTTGGCACACGTGGTGTTGAGTCATGTTGAGTCTGTACCGCTTGACACAGATGCTGATGATTTCCTTACCTGCCGTTGCAAGGATTACACCTATGTCTCACTTAGCGTTTGGGATACGAAGACGCAGTTTGATGCGGCGCGTTCGGCTGAACTTCCTAACGTTGCTTGGCTTAAGCATCATGTCATATCCATTGAGCTGTGCCAGGTCGTTTCCATCTACCACTGCATTCGCAAAGTGTGTCGCAGGAAGCAGATGTCACAGAAGGCAAAGCAAGCTTCACAAAGATGGCATCGCACTCGGTGGAAGCGCGTCATGGTGACGTCGAGCAGAGAACTTCGAGTAGCATGCCATGTTCTTTCAGAGATCAACTGCGACAGTTCCTTCTTGCCCTCGGCCCCTCGGCATCACTGTCGATAATTGGGTTCCCCCATCTTCTCGTGCTCCTTATGCCCTGGCTCCATCTGGTCTGCTCCTCGTGAATCGGGTCGCGGTCCAGTTCCCTTGTGCGGGTGCTCCCCATTGTCGGCCAGGCTCGACTGCAGATTGCCTCCCCCCGGCACAGCTTGTGAGGCTTGCATGTTCGCTGAGGCATTGAATGGCGTCGCAACCATGACAGGGCCGCCAAAGCCTGCGAATTGGGACGGGATGCTGTTGGAAAGCAAGGCTCCAGCATCCTAAAGTTCTTGAAGCCATCGGTCGGCATCACATGCAAGCTGAAAGGCGGCAGATGCGGCTGACTCCAAGGTGTTCATCGCCGAGATCTCAGGTTTGGCTTCTTCCGGCGCTGTGCTGGACTCGAGACTCTAGATTTCGCCAAGCACAGCTCGGTTGTCTTCTGTGTGAAGCTTTGCAGGTTAGACTGCGCGTCAGCTTGTGTCAAGACTTCCAGAAGTGCACTCTATAAGCCATCCTTGTGTACAAGGTGATGAATCGATTCGCCGTAAAGGACGGCTGTGAGCCGGAATTCGAGAAGCGGTGGGCCCAGCGGGAAAGCAAACTGCAGGAGGCACAGCCCGATTCAAACCATGTCAAGGACTTGAGGTTCACAATCGGGAAATCTGTCGAGTCCTTCATGGTTTGAGTTGCCGTGCTTCATCCGGAGGCCGAAGGATTCAAGTTCTTCCAATTGTTGCGGCGAGACCAAGCGCCCGATGATGATGTGTTTTGGAAGGATGATAGTCGGGATGTTTGGAGGCCTGTTACAGCTGAAGCCTGTCGCGAGGTAAACTACATCAGCATGAGTGCCTGGACGGATCGGGATGCGTTCGACAAGTGGTGGGGCAGCAAGAGTCTCGTACTCAGCTTGGATGCAACGGGCCTGCATGCAGCCACTTCAATGATTGAGTCTTCCCCGCAGTGTTTGGTTCCGGCAGTGTTGGTGCAGTGAAAAAAGTTTTTGAGTCACTCCAGAACGGCGGCTGGAAGGCTTCTGCGCAGGCAGGATCTTTTGCTGGCTGCGTCATTTTGGATGCGCAGCTGGGAGAATAGTCGGGCACTGACAGCAACCGTGACGCCAGGAGGTTTAGCTTGTTCTTTCAGGTGATCCAGCGTAGAGGCAAAGACACGCTGTACCACCGTGAGATTTGAAATGGCCTGCTCGTGGACATCTTTGCGCAGTGGAATCATTCTGAAACCATGAAAAGTGTTCGTGAGGTGGAGGTGGGCTGCCCATTCATTACAATCTGCAAAGATAGTTCGATATGATACCGTCTTTTAGACACATAGTGTTTACGGGGAAATCTCCGGCTGCATTGTGAGAACCATGGTTCTGGGATCTCGTGGCCTTCGACTGCGAATCTGAGAAGAAAAAAAGTGTCACCTCAGAAAAGCGTTTTTATGAGGCAGTATGGGACCGTCAATAATACCTTTCCAGCTCGTTCTTGGAACGCGGCTCCCATGCATGATGCAGGCAGATGTGCTCTTTCGCTCTTTCCGTGCCCAGGCTTTGCCAACATGGCCCAGGTGGCAGCAGCACTTGCACTTGCTGTTTGTGCGATCTGGACTGCGGGAGTGGTGTTTTGTGTGCACTTTCAGATAAGTTTGTGGAATGGGGGCTGATCGGCGGAATCGACCCTGCCGGCGGCAAAATCGTTACACACGCTACCCCAGCTGTATAGCTACCCATTTAATCTAGTACCGACATACTTGTACAGTATATATAAACAGCGGGCTGGAACCAGGAAGCCGGCAAAAACATAGACGGCTGCGCTGTCCTGATTGTCCTGAAGGGGCCTCCTTCTTCTTATCCTTTCAGCCTCAGTTCTTTCTCAGCTCGGACGCCTGCACGCGGGGCGGGGGTGGTACAATCGATCAATGATGACAGGTCCAAGGAAGCTTGCTGGAGAGCGCCACTTGGTGGAGTTGAAGAGCCAGCTGCATGTCGGACGCGATGGTATAGCAAGAATGCCGTCAGACCAAACAACGTGCAGACTGTATCATCAAGGAAATCGTGCGATACTTCTACGAGGGTTTGCTGCTTGGCGTAAATCGGCATACATCAGACTTGACATGATCTGGCTGAGTTGAGATGTTTGATGCAGTGATGTGCAGTGAATCGTGCTTGTGGTTGGACGACTTGGAGAGTCAGAGGCTGGTTGTGGAAAGCAGCCGAAAGCTTTGAACAGGCTTTAAAGCTGAGCTTCCCCCACAGTTGATGTTGTCGGCCTTCTATGGCTTCATGAGTGCAAGGTCCTTTGACCGTTTTCCGTTGCTCAGTTTTCTCGGTGCTTATGCTTGGATGTCGCCCTTTCAGACGTGGAACACGTCAGATATTTGTCAAGGCTAGTCGATAGTGGCTTGCTATGCGGACAGTCGCACAGATGCCAAGCCACTGGCAGCTTGGACATAGTGCAAAAGAAGATTTGTGACGCAACATGTGTACTGCTTGTGGATGAAGCAAATGTTTTTTTTGCATGTTTCGCAAGCTAGGCCGGAATTGCCCAGTCGACATGAACAGATCGACCTTGTTTGTGACAGCTCGAAACAACCCTCAAGGCTTAGTGCATTGCACCTTTCTCAAAAAGAAGATGCCCACTCAAATCGCCTGTAGGAGCACCAACACATTGAAGTTCAAGCAACAAGTGTTTTCCCAGCAAGAGACTTGTCAAGACTTCCAGCCATGGTTTCTGCAAGCCATGGCTTGTCAACATGGGTGCGTGCCTCATCTCTTGGTGCATCAGCAGCATGTCGAGCAAACATGCACATTCCATCTTTTTGTCATGCAAGCCGGGATTGTGAGAGCACGGAGGAGAGTGCTGTGGACAGGCCAATAGTATGGTCACATCGCGGTGCGAAGCGCGTGCCTGCTCCGTCGGTTTTTCTAGATGTGTCTCTCTGATTTGCAGTCTTGAGTATTGAAAAGTTGTTCGCCTGCCAGACTGTGGTTCTATGCTGAACGGTAGGCAGCAACACATCTTGTCGTATTATGCTCAGAGGTTAACTTAACCGTACTGGCATGCACTGGCTGAAGTTTCCGTTACAAGTGTTTGTTGTGAGCCAACTTTGGGAGCATCAGCAGCATGGAAACACATGAAAACCTTCGGACCGAGCATTCATGGTTGGCCAATGCAATCATGTCGACGCTAAGTGGCTGTGGTGGCATGGCTCCGTTGAGTTAATGCAAGGCACTTCCCGTTTTTGTCAGTGGGCCGAAAGCTGGTCGCACTTTCCAGGCTGTCTAGCAGGCATTGTGCAGATGCTTCGCAGCTTGCGGCAGAGACTACTCGGCCAAGGCTGCAGGCCTCACACATAACCAACCTCCAACTTGAGAACCATGCTAATCAGATGGCGGGCGGGAGCGCGATCAATATTTCTACAGTGCATCATCGGGCTCGAAAGGTGCAGAGATAGCCTTCTTGCAAACCGTGAAGCTGCAGGGGTTTGCCGACTGGAGGCAAGCTGTGATCTTGTCGGATGTTTCCTACTCAAAACCAATGCTTTTAAGCCGGTGCGGTCAGGAGGCTGCCCCCCTTTCCGTTTCGGAGGCTGGGATTTGCCAGCGGCAAAGGACGCTGACGTGTTGCTGTGTTCGTGCAAGGAGGAGCTCGCCCACATCCTCGGCAACAGCTTTCCGAGCTCAGCACCACGACCCGGAGCAAACTGCGAGGCCTCAGGCTAACATGTCTACCAAGCGCGGAAACAAAAGGTATCTTGCTTGTCTGTCCTGAGCTCTTCGGCTGTGCAGCAGACAGGACTCGGAGGAGCTAGAGCGGCTACAGGAGGAAATATGGGCGTGCGTGGACAGTGAGTGCATTTTGCAAACTGCAGGCTGTTGCATGGAAGTAGCGCCGGTCAGTGCCGTTATAAACCCTGCAGGAATTCCTGGAAATAGTGCAAAGCTCGGATTCCCAGGCGCTCAAATAGAAATGCCGCATAATTGGCTGGGCACAGCGAGGGCTAGGACTGCATGTCTTCACGTTGCTCACAAACAGATGTCCGATTCCGTCGCTGTGAGAATGCCTTTTGCAGGCTGCGCTGCGAGCCGTGGAATCGGCTACCTCCGAGATAGTGAATGCAAGCGTCGACCTTGAACATTCGGTGCGTGTTGGTGCACATGTGTGATTCTGATTTTCTGAGGCGACGAGTGTGTGGGCAGTGCCCTGCATTTTATTGCTGCAGAAGGGCATGTGCAGGCAGAGTCTTACAATTGGTCGAACGTAACATATCGTTGTGTGACGCACAGCGCCGCTCCCACCAGGCATGCCGTGCTTTACTGGCAAGGAGCGATTTCGGGCAGGTAAACTCCAGGAGCGGTTCGAAGCCTTTCATGGCCGAAAGGCGAAAGGCCGTGCCTGGCATGCAAGGAACGGTATCGGCTCTACGGCCCTTCACATTGCGGCTGCGAATGACGAGGAGGAGATCTGCAGGATGATCTTAGCATGCTCAAGGCGATCCGAAACTCATTTCAGCCTGTTCCGTGTTCGGATGGCACCAGTGCGACCAGGTTCACAGTGGGAGCAGATGCCGTGAACAACAACGGGCAGACATCGATGGACAGATCGAGCCTTGATTGAGGCCGCCGGTCGTCGATCCGTGTGTATGCACCCGCTGTGCAGGATTTTGCGGCAGAGTTCGGGCCACATCCTCAGATCAAAGCCAATGTGCTGCTTGATCGGTTTCGTCGATTTACACATCTTGGGAAAAACCGGCGCGACACGCACGAAACACTGTGAGCACTGTTCCCCTGCAGCGCGAGCTCTTGGAATGGCTTCTTTGAGGACTGGCCTTTGCTTGGACATCCTCGAAGCTTCTGGATGTCGCTATGGTACATGCCGTCGGCGTGGGCGACAGGTCCTCAGCAGGCGATCCTTCCACTGGATTTTCGCGACGTAGCCGGGTATGATGTTACTTGGAGGAGACCTGCAAATGCGCTGGGTGCACAAGCGGAGGCCTGTCCAGACAGAGGCAAGAGATGAGATGGAAAGGGGAGAAGAAGAGGTGAAGGAGGAGAAGTGCGGAAGGAGGAAGAGGAGGACGGAAGGGAGGAAGAAGAGAACGGCGAGGGTGACAGGGTACAAGAGTGCACAAGCCGAGTCAGAGTCATGCCGTCAAGCCAGCATGTTTGTATCTGCAGCTTTAATAGCATGGATGTGCATGGAAGGAGGTGGCAGACATGAACGAGTTGGACTGAGCCGACGCCGGACCGGCTGGCCTATGTGACTGTGTGTCTTTGTCCTATGTTCCTTTTTTGAGAGGTGCTGTGTTTGGTTGCGTGTAGTATGGGTTTTACCCGAGCTTCATAGATCTGACCGGATCTGGCATGTCCAACACCACAGCTGGAAGCTTACGGAGGTTTTGTGGAGGTGAAACCAGGGCCAAATTGCAGCTATTGGTGACTTAGTAGTGATTATTAGTGCCTTGTAGAGTTCACGACTAGGATTGACATCGCTTCCCCACACACGTGGTCTCGTTAGTATTGTTCTTCCTCTTTCTTTCTTGTTCGTGTTCGTTTGCTCTTTTCTCTTTGGTTGTTGGTTGTGTTGGGAGCGCTCGTGCGCGCTTTGGTCTTGCGACTTACTTCGGGAAACGTTCGGGAGGAGGGAGTGGAGGGGTACGCAGCAAGCAGCCACTGCTTTGCAGCACTTCTTAACCCAATCACCAAAACACAAAGCGCATCAATGCACCCAACGTTTTCAATAACTCCCATAGCACAATTCCAAACCAAAGTCAGCAGTGCCTCTTAAACTGACCAGAAAGTTTCCAGATGTTTGTAGGTTGGGATTGCTACCAGGGGCACATCCCAGACCTTCTTAATTAAGGAATGCTTGAGGGTAGGGATTGTTTGGGTGGCTTTGCTTCTTCTGATCGTGTTTGGGATTAGCTGTGAGTGTGGCAACATGAGAAGTGCTTCTCTGTTTTTGCACATGGTCACGTACATGTTTCCTCGGATGCACAGGCAATTGAGAAAGCTTGTGCTTTACGGCCGGCCTCGAACTTTAGCGGGCGCCGATCGCTACTGTGCATTTGCAGTTTTCCTGCTTGTGAACCCATGTCAAGGTAGCTCCAGCTCTTCTTTCTTCTCTCTCTCTCTCTCTGTCTCTCTCTCTCTCTCTCTCTCCCTCTCTCTCCTCTGGAGATACTCGCGACGGGTTTGGTTGGGCCTGTCCTGGTCGCTGCGACGGCTCGCTTCATTACACCTTTGATATCTTCCTCGCCGGCATATCAACTGGTGTTGGCTGCTCTTTTTGCTCTCGGCACCGCCGATTTGCCGCACCTCCCTCGCTCACACCTATTCCTCGGGCCTTTTCGGAGCAGGCAGCTCCTGTTGACGTGCGTCTGAGGGACGACAACGTGGCCCAACGCATCACTGAGTTGCTGGCGGTCGGAGACACTGCCCTTGACGAGCTTGCACAAAACAGCAGGTAGAGAGCCACCTGCTGCGAGAAGTTACGGGTTGATAGTGTGCGGGTGAGAGCCATTGCTCATGTTCCCACAGGGTCCGCACACAAATCCTGACCGGCTTCCCTCCTTTTCTTTCTCACTGCTGTATTTGTGCAGTCGCCCTTCTCCTTCGCTGGTGGGGCAAAGACAGTCCTCGCCGGACTTTGTGCAACCTCCAGTCCGGTCCCGCTTCCGTTCTGACGTTCGTCCGGTGTGCTGCGTCCTGCTTCGCTGTGTGCGGCTCTCAGCGCCTGCCTGGTGCGCAGCCTTGCAGCGCGACGACTTGCAGCTTTCAGGTCCGCCGTGGACCATGGGTGTTTTTTGATTGTTTATGCATTTCTTTTTCAGGGTCTCTGCTTGTCGATTCGTGGCTTCTCCTGCTGCTTCTTGCTTTTGGCATTCCTCTTTCACGACTTTGGTCGCAGAGAGAAGCAACAAGGCCACACGCTGCATTCAACCTGCCCAAGCAATTCTGCACGTGTCCTGTTTCAGTTAACAATTAAAGGCTGTGCACGTGCAGGCTTGTTTCACTTGATTGCCGAAGCACAAAGCAGGCTGTTGTTGGTCACAAGCTGGCTGGACTTGCTCGGGGCAACAGAGCCTTTGCACAGCAAGTGCCGCGCACACGCAGTGCTTTTGCAACCGGTGCTCCAAGCATTCGAGGATGGACGGGATGCTGACAGCAGAGCCCTTTATCTAGCGGTTGCGCAGGTCCGCGAGCCATTTGCCGCCAGACTTCGTGTCACCACCGTCTTCCTGTTCAGGGACTGCTTTTGAAGTGAGAGGCCTGCAGATGACCGAGAGATGTGCGTTCATTCCAGGATATTGTGCAGTGGCTCGCTCGCACAGCGAGCAAAATGTGGACGGCAGGCAATGGGATAATGCGAAATCTTCACTTCCTGCCCCTCAAATCAGGATTATCAGGCAATGCAGCTGGGTGTCGTGACGAGTTGCGCACTATTGTGCAGATGGAGGCTTGGAGATAGAACATTGTCAGGGCTCAGTCGTGACGTACGGTTTTTATTGCAAAAGTGTTGTGAAGGCACGGGCGGAAAGCCTGCAGAGGCACGGTGGCATGCTGTTACCGAGCTGACTTAACCGAAAGTTGCTGCAGATTGTGCAAAAGGCATCGGAAGGCATGTTGCTCGCTTGCCTGCTGCTGGAAAGTACGACGGACCAGCACTGGACGAGTGATCGCCCTGCTGTGCTTATGCATTGGTCGCCTGATGCACTCTGTCATAACATGTTTGCAAGAGGTACTTCGGCTCCGATCCCTTCCGAGCGTTCGGACGGCTGGTGGAGGTGTTGCTTCCGATCGTCCCCGAGGCCGCACCGTCTCTGCCGCTTCTGCTCAGGTCTTGTCCCGTATCAACGCTGCGCGCACTGCTTGGCAGGTTCGGTGTCATAAGCAGGGTGCATTTGCTTTGCGACATGCTTGCAAAACTCAGCAAATCTCGCTAGGATTCGAGTTTACCGGTTGCAGTGCGAGGGCAGCGACTGCGATCTCAGGCACCACAGAGCCATGTAAGGCATGTGCCGAACTCGCTTACGATATGCTGTCCCTGGAGGTGGCGAGCCTCGGCACAGTGTTTGTCAAGCCTGCTTCTGAGATTGAGCGGAGCTAGACTGCTAGAAGCTAGGCCCAGCCCCTTCCGAACCTCCGGAATGTCTTCAACTCCGCAAGCTGGCACAAGGCTGGCGCAAACGATGGCCACGCGTTCAGACTTGGTCACGAAAGAGCTCGGCAAAGAACTGGGGCTACTGCAGGACGTAAGTGGTGACAGTGCATGGTGCTGAGCGCTTACGCCGGCTAGTCTAGCAGCACTGTAGCAGTCAAGTGCCAGGACGCAATGGGCCAGTTTTCAAACGACGTTGCTATGCAGACCATTCGTGAGGCCAGGCAAAGATTCATGGAGGCATGACTGGCGCGAGTGCACTGTGGCTCGTGCAATGCCATGCGCAAGCAGCATGGCTGTGGTTGAACATGCAAAAGACGCCCCGAGACGTGTTCCTCTTGCGTCCCCGTAGTTGTACATCTCGATCTTGAGCTGACTGCGATATTGGAACGTTTCCACACACGCGCAAGTGCATCGACACATAGCGAAACCAGCTTTTGTTCTGCCTACACGGTCCAGCTAACTGCCCGGTTACATGAGGCATGATTCGCATCCACTTGGCGTGCTGGAAGGGCTGTATTCGTACGCTTAGAATGGACGTCCACTTGGAATGCTTCAACTATGTAACGAAAGCTTTCCGAGCAGGGCTTGAGCTTGGTCTTGCTTTTAGCAGGGGGCAGTCCAGTGCCCACAACCAGCGTATTATTGATAGTATAGGGTCACTTGAACGGTTCACACGAATTGCCTTGTTTTGGGCGGTTTTGGGAGTGATAAATTGAACGGTTCATGGGATTGTCTGATGTGGGGGAGGGGAAAGGCGGGGGCGGGGTTTAATTGCTAAATCGACAACCGAGTTTCACAGCAAAGCCAGTCAAGCTGAGCAGCTGTACAACTCATCCGCGGCTGCCTCCTCCGCAACTGCTTTTGCAATGTGTCCGATGTTTAGTTTCACGGCTGGGGGCACTCTGACAGACTACACGTAATACAGCCCTCCTCCTCCTTCATTCGCAGCGAAGAGTCCGCTCAGCGTCCCCTTCACGGCGGCAAGCCGGCGCCCCAGGGCGCACTCTGCATTGCATAGTCCGGCAAAAAAGCACTGCCCCGGCTGTGTCAGCGCGAACCTCAATCCGCAACCATTGAGATCACTGTACATCGAACAGTCTGGACAACCACCGATGCTCGGAACACACCCCGTCCTGACCGGTATGATAGCCCTTGTGCTCAGCATAGCTGCTGATGCCAACACAACATCTGGCCGGCCTCCCGTCCTCAGCCTCCCAACATGACCCGCTGGGCAGAGCGCCCGGCTCAAGGAGCAGCGAGGCACAGTGCCCCGAGTTGGTCGTTTAACCGTGAAGCTCACGAGATAAGTGGCACGAGATGTTCTAAGGCCTCGACATGCCTGGAGCGATCTTTCGCTGCCCCATTTGCCGAGTAGTCGTATCTGGCAAGTTGCAGCATGACTACTTCTTGGTCCGCATTTAGGCCTGGGGCCGTGCCGCAAGCCTGTCAATACAGCCTTGCAGGCAGTCAGGCGATGTCCCAGGTCCCAAGTGCAAAGGTGCCCGTGCCCAAAGGTGCAGCAGCCGTCACCATTTGAGCACATGTCACTTCGCCAATTGATGAACTCTCTTTTTAAAACGATAGGGGACGTAGCCGCCCTCATCATAAACACACTCATCACAAATCACAGCGTGCAAGCCTACCCCATACGCAATTTTCAATGGAGGCCACAGGCACATGGGACCAAGACGCTGCCATCGGTTTGAAGCACATTGCCCGGGCTGCCGCCGCAAGAGCGGGTGAGGAGGCTGATGCCGCCCACACCAGCCTACTGCAGGAACTGTGTGTCGCCACGCTGTCCTGGAGCGCCCGTCGTGCCTTTTTCAATTGGGAGAACCCCTTGTAGTGGGACGGGGTGGTTGGTCAAAACGAGCTTGGCCTTCCCTCACCGGTCCCGTGGTTCGAAGTGGCTGCAGATTAGATGTGATGTTGGTGCTAGTGTGTGCAGCGCAACTGACGTACGGATTAACCTGAAGGCTAGGTCCGCTCAGTCTTTTGCTGCGGCCTGCTAGTGCAGAGCTGCAGAGTCAGCAGCTGTAGGCTAGCAGCATGTACTGTGTTCAACGTAGCACTTCTACAGAAGTTAGAGGTTGCTCTGTCAGAGACCGTCATTCCGAAGGCCTCTAGTGTGCGAAAGAACACGACTACTTCCAGCACTGATTCAAAAGACAGGATGTAGTCAAAGGTATCGGCCAAGTGATCCTCATCGGTAAAGACGGTGAGGATGCGCCGGACCACTTCCATCCCAACCTCATCGGCCAGGGCTTGACTGAGCTCGTGAGAGAATATGAGCCCAAAAAGGAGGGCTGCCGAGCAGCCGTTTCGAATTCCCTGGGTGCTGCGCTCTTTGTCGTGCAGAATGGTGTCGTGAATGTTGACATGCCAAGACATCTGCACATCGACTAGGTCAGGTGGCAGTCCAATGGTTTTGTGGTGTTGGGCCCGCAGGGCCCAGAGTAACAATCTAGATCATTGCTGGGCCTGGAGGGCGGGATATGCTCTCGTGGGCATTTTGGCTTCAAGTAATTTTGGCCCAGTTTTGACCAAGGTAGGTCGCAATGCAATGGGAGATCCAACTGAAGAGCAGCTTTCCCGCTGCTTGAAGTTGGGTCATGCCGCTGATTACGTGGGTCTTGCAGGCAGCCCCACAGATCAGCTGACAGTGAGAGGGTCCTTGTTCGATATTGTCGGAGTTGCGGATGACGCGCCACATCCGCCTCTCAAGGGTAGACAGCTCGCGGTTCCGTGGAACGAGTGGAGCCCTGCCATGATGATACACAGAACCGGAAGGCTCGTATTTTACCGAGGCGACTGTTCATTACCCATCACTCTTGAATGAGAGTTTGGCTAGAGCGCTGACATGTGAAAGTGCATCCATTTCAGAGCTCCAGCCAAAGCCTCATGATGCGCTCCCTGTCGAGGACCTTGCAAGCTCCACGGAGGGCAGAAAGCGGACTTCTTTGGACGGCCTCCATGGGACTCCCCTCGAGGATCTGCCACTACCCACAGACTGGATCAATAGTGTGCACCTTGAAGTGGCCCAACTGATCAGAAGGATCTGTGGCTGGAAGCATCTTGAGGGTGATGAGCTGTCGTACATAAATGTAAGTGTCAACACAGAGACTTGCAAATCGCCTTTGAAAGCTGAGTTCTGGTCGTTGTGGACAGAGACCGTAAACGATCCGGGCAAACACCTCGTGCAGTGGGTTCGTTCAGGCGCACCGGCAGGGATTCTGTCCCACCCGGAGCTAGACGGGCTGTGCGAGCAAGCAGAGTCTGAAGACGAGTCTGTCGGGCCAGAAATTTTATGCACTGACTTTTCTTTTCATTTCAGAATTATTCAGGGGTGGAGCAAAGCCCGGCTGCTTGCGAGGCCATCCAACAGTACGTGCGAAAAGGGTATTTGCTACCCTTTAATTCTCTTGAGGAATGCCGGGCCCACCTTCATGGCAAGGACCCAGCTCTCAGCAAACTGGGCTGCATTTCCAAAACCAAGATCGATTCGGAGGGTCGCATGGTAGTAAAGCATAGGATCATTTTGGATGCCAAACAGTCCTGGGTTATCTCTGCAACCCAGAAGAGATTCAAATCCGAGCTCCCCAGGCTGGGGGACGCTGTCAATGACTGCGTTTCCTTCATGTCCGATTTGCAAGAGAACGAAACCGTCGAGCAACTGGTGGCAGACATCTCGGATGCATCTGGCTTGTTCCTCTGAGCCCTGCAGAGCGACAGTTCTTTGTTACACAGTTTCGAGGGCAACTACCTCGTTTTCCAGAGCACGGCACAGGGTTCCCGCACTGCACCGCTTGCATTCTGCGCGCTCATGTCTGTAGCATGGCAAGATGGGCGAGAGCAACGCACCGGAAGGGTGCGTATGGACCAAGCAAGTGTCGCAACCTCTCAAATGGATTCTCGCTTTCGTTCGTGAATTGGAAATCTTCATCTAAGAACATGGATGGTGGCCGACTATGCCATCGCTGGTTCGTAAGTCAGCTAAAGCAGTGCTTGCTGTTGACGGCGCCACTGTCGAGTACGTAGCTGATGTGCCACACAAGTTCGAAACTGAACTTCTTGGCATTAGTTTTGGGGACTGCTCCTCCCAGCATGTCTTGGAGTGCCTGGCTGGATTAGTTGGCTGCATCGCAGATGCAAGCTCGTTCTCCATAGTGACAACGTGGGTGCGCTAGTTCTTCTGTCTCATTTGCACACCAGCTCAAGCAGAAACGCGGTAGTAGCACGTGAATTTGCGTTAGATTTGGGATGGGCTGCGTTCCATCCTAAGTTGGCTGAACATGTCCCAGGTTTTTCAAGCAAGACCCGTGATGCTTTAATCCGTTTGTCTGACCCCTCCGGTAAGTATCCCGTGAGCACTCATGGTGGCGCTCACTTTTTCTTCCCCAGCTCTCTCTCCGCTAAGCCGGACGGAGTACACAAGGGAGCGAGGGCCGATGGTTGATCGCCACGCATGAGCAAGAAGCAAAAGCTTCCTTACACAGTCAATGCGATTTCGAGCAGATCTGTTCTGGATTTCAAGCGACCAAGCGACAAGCCTCCGAAAGCTAACCTGCTTCATTGGAAAGCTGTGACTGTTTCTGCGAGGGAAGGCTTCCAGTCTGTGACTGTTTCTGCGAGGGCAGGCTTCCACTCTTCTTCGCTGTCTGGTGCGTCATAGAACTCGTGTAGATCAGCCCCCCCCATGTGTTACTCGTCTGGTGGCTCGTCGGCTCATGCCATAGAGGTTACTACGTCCTCGCCCTCAAAACGGAAGGCGTTGGATGAACTGGAAAGGGATGTGCATGCACGCACAAGCCATGCCCCGAGGAATTCCCGATGGACGACATGGCGAAAGTTCCACGTCGCCTGGTTTGGCGATGAAGTGTTCATCCCGCTGACGAGGACGAAGCTTCTGGCAGTTTCTTCCATGTTCAAGGCTGGAAAGTTCGTGAGCTTCGCTGGATATTTGTCCCGCGCAAAAGAAGAACACGCTCTGGCAGGGCATGAGTGGAACGCCCTTCTGCAACGGACTGCAAGGATTGTCGCAGATCTGTCACCAGAGGTTTGTCTACCAAACCTGCTTCTGCGCCGTTTGACTTTGAGAAGATCATGCACAAGGCGTCATCCCCCGTTCTGATCAATGGCTCCGGTCAGGAGCCCTTCGAGCCGGCGACCATGGTTTGCATCGGCACGTTATTCATGTGCAAAGAAATCGAGCTGTCTGGGGCACTTGCCTCTGAGATGTGGGTCAATCACAACGAAGAGAGGTTGTATTTCATGCTTCCTGCATCGAAAACCGACTGCAAAGCTAAAGGCACCATCAGGTCCTTGGATTGTCTCTGCTCTATCACAAGATTTTGCCCCGTGCATCTGGCGTCGGGTTATCAGGAGCGCCTGTTCAGAAAGTTTCCCGAGTGTGATGGTTGGCATCACGACTTGTTGCCACTTTTTCCGAAGATGGACGGCACGCCATTCGAGAAGGCAGCGATCGTTGGTTACATTCGGGACCCGCTCAGAGCAAGAGGTGGCTTGTCTAAGGATCACGCCGGGAGATGGCTACACTTTGGACACTGGACCCCATCACAGTGGGAATCCACGGCAGATGGAGCTCAAGTGCCATTTTGAGGTACATCTGGGAGTCTCCTTTGGAACCTCTGGCCTTCCGAGTGCTCAAGGCAGGTTCACAGTCCGTTTGACGGTCTTGAAGGATCGTCTCGACAAATTGGACCGCATTCTCGAAGACAAAGGTGACGTTGATCGCATGGTCACCAAAGAAGTGTTCAATTCGAGCTCCAAAGCGCTTCGTCGTGCGACCCGACGTAGCTGACCAGCCAAATGAATGGCGCACTTACTGCAGATGGCCATTTGCAGGTTTGAAACACGTTAGTGTATTTGCGGAAGGATCTGTGCCTGAAGGGGCCTTTTCGTCCTAGATGTTTTCGCCCGACCCCGCGTGTTAACAGCTGTCAAAGCTCACAGTCCGATTCTTTGGACGATTGCTCTTCGGATCTCGACGAGTAGTCGGGTTTGGATTGGGCTGGAAGCCCACTTTTTCTCTTCCGAAGCTGATCGTCGGCAAGCATTTAACGGTGCAGGCTCTGCTCCGCCATCGTTGTTTTCCTTACAGACGATGTGAGTTCAGCAGCCTGCCTTCTAAAAGAAGTCAACGCGGGAGGGTGGGTGGATTTTGATCCTGATTGTTGTGCTGGGCCCGCAGGGCCCGAAGTAATAAACTAGATCATTGCTGGGCCTGGAGGGCGGGATATGCTCTCGTGGCCATTTTGGCTTCAAGCCATCTTGGCCGAGTTTTGCCCACCCATCCCACCGTAGGGTTTGGATTGGGCTAGAAGCCCACTCTTTCTCTTCCGAAGTTGATCGTCGGCAAGCATCTAACGGTGCAGGCTCTGCTCTGCCATCGTTGCTTTCCTTACAGACGATGTGAGTTCAGCAGCTCTCCTTCTAAAAAAAGTCAACGCGGGAGGGTGGGTGGATCTTGATCCTGATTGTTGGGCTTGGACCTTGGCATCTTGTCAAAGGCCAGTGCCTCTAGCCTCTGTTGCAGGTTTCACAGGACCGCCACCGCCCAGGCCCCCCCCTGCCCGCGCCGCCGCCCGCCACCGCCACCGCCACCGCCATTGCCACCGCCAGCCCTGCTCCTGCTCCTGTTTCTGCTCCTGCTACTGCTCCTGCTGCTGGTGCTGCTGGTGCTGCTGATACCACTTCTGTTACGACAGCAACAACAACTGCTACTGCTGCTGCTGCTGCTCTGCTACTGCTACTGCTACTGCTACTGCTACTGCTACTGCTACTGCTACTGCTACTGCTACTGCTACTGCTACTGCTACTGCTACTGCTACTGCTGCTGCTACTGCTACTGCTACTGCAGCTGCTACTGCTACTGCTACTGCTACTGCTACTGCTACTGCTACTGCTACTGCTACTGCTACTGCTGCTGCTACTGCTACTGCGACTGCGACTGCCACTGCCACTGCCACTGCCACTACCACACGGCCACGGCACCACCACCACCACACCACCACCACCGCCACCGCCACCGCCACCGCCACCGCCACCGCCACCGCCACCGCCACCGCCACCGCCACCGCCACCGCCACCGCCACCGCCACCGCCACCGCCACCGCCACCGCCACCGCCAACCGCCCCCGCCGCCGCCGCCGCCGCCGCCGCGCCGCCCGGCCGCGCCGCGGCCGCCGCCACCCGCCACCCCGCCACCCGACCCCACCGCACCGCCACCGCCACCGCCACGCCGCCACCGCCACCGCCGGCCACCGCCACCGTTGGCCACCGCCACCGCCGCCACCGCCACCGCCGGGCCGGCCACGCCACCGCCGAACACCGCCACCGCCGCCAACGGCCACGGCCACGGCCACGGCCACGCCACGGCCACTGCCACTGCCACTACCCACACCACCACCACCACCACCACCACCACCACCACCACCACCAGCACCACCACTACTACTAAGACGACGACGACTGCTATTACTATTATTATTTTTATTATTATTATTGTTATTATTTTTATTATTAGTATTATTATTAGTATTATTATTAGTATTATTATTAGTATTATTTTTAGTATTATTATTAGTATTATTATTATTATTGTTATTATTATTGTACTCTCGCGGATAAAAGCCCGCTGACTTGCCGGGCCGACATCCACTCGGTTAAGAAAATCGCCGAGCTTTCGTTCTCCATGCCTCCGGCGTTCTGCGGCCTTCAAGCCCAGTTCAAACAGAGTCCAGATTGTGTTTGCTTCGGTTTAGGCGATGATCTTCGCATGAGTGTCTGCTCCTGCGCCAGTGTGGCCTGCGATGTGCACTGTTCAAATCACCTGACACGTCAAGTAACACTGTTATCACTAACAGGCCTCGGAAGTGCCAAATGGCTTCCACATCACCGACTGCAAGTCTGCATCTCCAACGACAAAGCGTAAGCCATTGTAAATCGCATTTGCCACTTGACGAAGCCTTTTCTGGCAAACCACGGCCTGGAAGGGCATGCTTCGCATAGTCTTGACATGCTTCAAGCATCCAGTGCCAAGAAAACCTCTCTACCTTCGACGCTGCTTCTTGGGCAGCAATTGTTTCGCAACTGAAAACTGCATGCATGAGCCTGTGTCTAGACCGGAAGCCATAATTACGGTGTGTGCCAGATTCTTGCCTCTATGCCTGCGTCGCACAGGCGCTCTAGCGGCGCTGCAGAGACTGTGTGCAGTCATCGCCCTGTTGCAAAGCTTGGTAAGTTTGACGCTCTGGTTGTGGAATGTCTGCGAATTGCCGCATCCAGCAAAAACACATGAGAGCACACATGGCAGATGCTCTTCCAAAACACCGGAGGTACCCGTCCAGCTTTGCGTGCTTTCCGCGCGAATGAGATGCTGCGATCATTTCTGCCACCGAAATGTCGTCACATGAGATTGGCGAACGGGTGCCCCAAAGCGATTTCCGTACGTGGGCATTGACAGGACGGACGGCCCATTGAGTCTTTTCAATGAGAAAGCATCCCCCCGTCTATCGGGGTCAAAGCAGGCCACCTTCGGTTGTGAGGGCAAACGGGGCGCCAGGGTCCGAGCAGGGGAAAACGAAGCCTGCGCCCAGAAGTCTTAGCATGTTTTTCATCCAAGCCCTCGTTGGGGTGAGCCGCGGCCAAGAGGGTTCCCACGACTTGTTCATCTCCCCGACCTTCCGCTTTTCACGTTGGCATTTCTGCAGTTAGCTTCTTCAACGTCAACGTAAAGTCTGTTTATTGCGTCGAGTCGCGGATGTGAAAGCCGATGTTTTTTTCGACCGTTTCACAGATTCCCTTCCTATTGGTTTCCGCCAGCCAGTTCCTTCGTAGACAGGCTTTTTGAGTCTTTGCAGTCTCCGGGCCTTTTTCGGCTTTCAGCGGTTAGCTGCGATTTAATATCGCAGCTTCATCGGATGCTTGCCTGGTCATGGCGAAAGTGTATCTAAACTCGCCTGGCCCTCGAGTTTTGGGTTTTGGAGACTCGGAAACTGGGAGGAGTTTGATTGGGATGGACCAGTTGCTGCGCCGAGCACTTGGTGCGCTACATGTGAAGTTTTCAGTACTTGCGCACATGCGCAACTCAGGAGTGGAAGCTCGGAAGGTGACGGACTTCACTCTGCGTCCATGCCCACATGCAGATGTTTAGGAAGTAGCTCGGGGTGGTAAAGTGTGTTCAAATTGCAGGTGGGCAGCTGCACCCTGGTGAAGCTGCGCCGCTTTTCTCTTCGCTGACGGATGAGCCGGTGGCTGCAGCGCCTTCAGTGCTGAGTTTTGCAGAGATGGAAGGCAGTGTGAGTTCGCAATCAGTGGATCTGCCGCAGTGACACGCAAGGCAGCATCGTTGGCGCAGGCTCTGCTGAAAAAGAGTGTTTAGGCTTGCCAGAGTCCAGAGACTGCTACACAAAATACTTGAAGGGTTCTCATACCCTGGTCATGGCATCGCAGTTCCGAGAATGAGAACAGCAAATAACAACACATGTTGCACCAGGTGTATCGGGGCATACTTACTGACGGCACTGAGGCCGGGTCATCTGTCAAAGTACCCGACACCGAAATGTGCAGACAGGTTGCCGTCAAGGTTCAAAGGCCTGGACTTGCGGAGCTTGTAGGCGCCGGAAGGGCCTGAAGCTCACAAAGTTTGAGTCCAGTGTACTTTTGATGCTGGCAGGCCTAGATTTCTACGTGCTCAGACGAATCCTGTTCACCGTGAATGTATGGAACTTACGGTCGTTCGGCAGATCTTTTGATCGCCTACACATTTGCACCCCTGGTATCCCCTGGTCTGCACTTCGAAAATGTTCTTCAATTATTCTTCAGAAATCGAAGACTGCTCTGACCGACTCTGCGAACTTGCTTCGGCTAGTTTCGTTTGGTATCGCTACCAGAGCCTGTCCAGGCATTTCACAGCAAGTAGGCATGTTGCCGAATTATCAGTAGAATGGATCGTGTTGCTGGCAAGGGTTTCGGGCTTGAAGACCGCAAGCCATTCGCATCTCACAATGCTAGGGGTTGGGACAGGGGCAGAACTCGGGCAAGGGCTTTGCGACAACGAGATCTGATCATTCGTGCCCCACAGGCAGGAGCATGCGGATTCCAAGGACTTCTCCCGAGCAGTTGAGAGTACTTGGCGATCTTGCTGCGCAGCTTCGGACGTTTCGTTGGCGCATGGTTCACCCCTTTGTGTGCTTAAACTCGCACCGGCGCCGTCGTTCATGTGACGATGTTAAGACAAGGAAACAATCCTCGCCTCTGTTTCGGGGACTGGGGCGGGACTCGTTAACACAACAACATCTTGTCAAGTTTTCAGTGGAGGAACCCAAGCTACAACGGGATAGGCAGCACGGGGGCTACATGCCTCCCAGAGATGCTACCAAACAAAAAGGCTCTGGACAGGCTCTGATATCTCTTGGGACGCCAAGGAACGTACCTGCAGTGATTCATTACGTAAGAATCAGTTACACTCTTTGCTGTATATTGCTGATCCTCGCTCTTGCTTGCTACAATCTGCAAGCCGCTGATCCACTTTTTAGTAAGCCAGCCAACAAGGTAACCCAGCGTAGTGAGAGGTCCACTGCAACACGTTCTTGACGTCCTCAGTTGTGTTCCTTTGAGCTCATTTCAGAGTTTCTATCACGCATTTGAGAACGACAGCCAGGGTTTGCCTGGAGTTCGAGTGTGAATTGGGCATGGCGGGAAGCAGCAATTCTTGGTTAGGTTTCAACAGGCTCCAACCAAAACAGACCGGCAAGTCTAAGTTGAACCGGAAAGTCTTTTGAGCTCGAGAAACACTGAGTTCAGGTGGCACTGACCTTGAGCACCCAGTTTGAGCATGAAATCTGGTTCCATGTTGAGCATTCATGACAATTTCTAAAACTTTTGTTAGTCATTCTGTCCTCGTTTATCGCAACCTGGCGTTTTGCCTGTGCCGCGCTGCAATGGAAATCAACATAAGAATGTCCAGAAGCCGGAGGACATCCTGACAGCTTTCGCTGCACTCAGTCAGCAGCCATCGGCAACGACAACATCTTCGGCACGATCCAACTGCAGCACGCCACCCTGGGACGCACAGAATCACCCGGGCCATACTTCCGACGTGAAGATCAGAAAGCACCAACACCTTAGCCCTCGACCAAGGCCATCGTTGACACAACCGCTCCGCAAGACTCCAGGACCCCACCAAAGCCTGTCCTCATCAACAAGCAAAAGGACAAGGAGAGTGGACAGTCAAGGTCCAAAACAAGACCTACAAGATTAGACAGCCGAGGTAGAAGTGACAGCACGAGATTTCGGAACAAAGTCACCTTGAGGCCCAGGTCCAATTCACATCGGCGGAACTCTTCTCCACCAAGAACTTCAACAAGATTTTCCCCGCCCAGAACAACAAGGAGATCGCCCCCAACCCAGAACATCCAAAAGATCACCTCCACCAAGAGCTCCACCACGTGGGCCAGACCGCCACCAAGAGAGACCCAAGACATCAGGGCGAAAGATAAGAGCCCGAGTCCCCCAAGCCAAATTGCTTTCCCCAAATGCATCAATCAGTACTTCGTCGACTGGAGTGCCTTCGAGATCCACCAGTACCCAGAGTCGTGCCAAGGCATCGCCGGCATGGACATCCGGGACGGGACCATCGCGCATCTCAGTCGACGTGGCACGGACGAGCTTCCTCGCACCGTCGCCGAGACCGTGTTATGGTCCCAGCTACACAAGGTTTTACAAGGCCTAAGATTTCGCCGCTCGTCGACGAGTTCATGCAGCACGTCAAACCATAGACCCACGTCAAGAACAACGCAGCCAAAAACCCAGTGCAGGACAGCCAAGCAGCCCAGCGAATGCAGCTGGAGGAGGAAGCGGCGAAGTACAAATTGCGACTACGACGAGCAGGAATGGAGGTCGCCCCGCAAAAAACGCTACCAGTACAAGCAAGACCCAGAGTCGCAGCACACCTCGACGTCACAGTCATCCCAGCCGGTACCACCCGTTCAGAAGCAGCAGCAACCGGAGCCCCAGTGCCGCCGTGTCTTCAACAAGGAGATATCAAAAAGGCTTTTGGCTACCAGACGATGCTGGACGAGCCCTCCAACGTCGTGATGAAGCAAGGCGGACAGACGCCACCCTTCAGTATGACATCGTTGAAGACATGGGTCACAAACATCAAGAACACCCTCCCAGATGACAAGTACTAGTTACTAGCCCTCGCCCGCTGCGTCACTCAAGTCCAAGAGATCCTCCAGGAGAGCGACCACAAGAAGCCACAACTCCAGGAAATGCTTACAAGGTGGGGACTGCCCATTCCATTGATGACGTCAGCGGCGACCACACCGAAAGTGCTGCAGCGACTCATCGCCGCGGTCACCTTCTTCGCTGTGTTACGATTGCAAGAAGTGCAACGGAGTCTTAGTCACGCAGACAGCGCCAAGGCCTTCGAGCAAATGCAGCACATCGTAGAGTGGGCGCAGCTTTTGCTTTTGTATGCACCGGATCTTTGATTTGGCTGGCAGGATTCCTTCACCTTGTCTTTTTTTTCATCGAACCAGACAGACGGTATCAATTCAGCAGTTCAAACAAATACCGACTACGAGAAAAAGGCGCGGTGCTAGGGCTGTTCACATACCCCAAGATGACGCAGCCCTATGCAGTTTATGTCAAGCTGAAGTTCCCCGCGCTCAATAGTTCGGGCTATGCTGAAGCCGGCAAGGCTGCACCGTGCCGCTAAATCGGCTCCCCGAACATCCAAGAGAGAGTACAATCGAATCGCAAAACTTCGACAACTGCAACACCTCAAACTTCCCAAAACTGAGATCGCCATCAGATACTGGAGCGACTCCCAGACCTACGACCAGTTCAGCACGATCCAGCTTTTGCAGCACCAGGAGTGTATAGACGCTGGGGTTCATTGTCTTATGCAGGGATGGCAGCCCAAGCTGAATTACACCTTCGTTACGAAAGCTTTCGTGAAGAAGGCTCATGGCTTTGTTCCCAGAAGACAACAACCTCACCTCAAACAGGTGCAAGTCTGGAAGCTCTTCTACGCCATCGCCAGCGACACTAGGCAGGACTATGACACCAACCGAGAGCTCCGCAGCGCAAAGGTTCAGATCCTCGATGCCAGTATTGAGCATTCACAAAAGCTCGAGGCAGCACCTACATAGTCGTCCCCCGCAGGAGGTACGTGTGTATCGTCGTTTTCATGCAGTTGCGAGAAGCTCTTGGAAATTCAGCAGGGGCGACGTGCCTTCCAGGGTGGTTGCCTAACAAAGAAGCTGTGGAAAGGCATTAAAATGCCTTGGGACGCCAAGGGACGTACCTGCGGTGATCCAGAACGTAACGACGTAAGAATCCGCTACATTCTTGGCTGTATAATCATTGATGATCCTCGCTGTCGTTTACTACAATCTGCAGGCCGCTGATCCATTTTTTCAGCAAACCAGCCAACAAAGTAGCGCAGCTTATTGAAAGGCCCATTGCAACATGTCCTTGACGTTTTCAATTGTGTTCTTTTGAGCTCATTTCTGAGGTTTTATCGCACAATTGAGAACGACGAGCCAGGGTTTGCCTGGAGTTCGAGTGTGTGTGTGTGTGTGTGTATGTGTTTGCTGCAACAAGCCAGGGCATGATTTTATCAAGGGCCAAGTTCAAGTCTGGCCGTTGGGCCCACCCATAAGTGCAAAAAGATCTGCCGACTGCAAGTTCAAGTCCGGGGGCCTAAGGTCTAAAAACAGGCTGTGCGATTGTCCGCTTGCGGTTCACACCTCGAACGGCTTACAAGTCCGGAAACATGTTTGATGTCAGAGATCTGACAATCATGCGATGACAGGGCGTAGTGTCAGGGTCATAGTCCGGCTCATTAACCGAGAAGGGGAATTGATCCAAGAGAACGTCACCACGGGGTTGCTTCGATGCAGTTCGTCATACGAGAGGGGGGCTAGCTTTACACCCTCGCAACTCGGACTTGCTTTCATATGTGGCATCGGGGAATGGTGCATCAAAACGTCCCGAGAGCTTGAGTACTCTTGAGGTCTCGATGCCTTCATTTGCACGAGGGTTCCAGCGCTAATATCATGTCCGGCCTATTGCAGCTTCATCATCGCTTGACGGTCTCGAGGAAAGTGGTCAAGCCAGAAGAGTTTTAAACCAGCCTCGGTTCGCAAATCGTCAGTTGCTTCCGTGTCAAAACAAACAACACGATGTTTGTCGTCCAGTACGGAAGCAACAGCAATAGGGCAGTAGTCACGAGAGGTATGGGAGGAACGTTTTTCGTCGAGGGCTGTTGACTTCAGTGTTTCTTTCAGCACGAGTACTTCTTATGTCGATGTGTTTCGGGGATTCTTTAGCATGCCGCCGTCTTGTCAGAGCCCCAATTTCAGCCTATTGTGAAGGCTTTGGATGTTGATTCGAGTTTCAGACTTTGCAATCGCTGCAAAAAGGATTCAAGGCCACCCCCAGCCTTGGTTTGTTCCATCTGCCATAGAGCCCAAGCGCACGACCCCGGTGATATCAGCAAGACATTGAGAGGAATCGTGATAACAGGAATGTCGTTATGCCGCCTGCTGTATCATGTTGGCTGACCCGTACCTCCGAGCACCTTGGTTCTGAGGCGATACTGGGTGCTACAAGGAGTTCTGAGATCGCGCAGTATGCACCTCGGACTAGTGACTAGCACCAAACCTGCGCGCTACGGCAGAAAAACAGGTATCCAGCTCTTAACAAGGGCGCCTGTGGCATCGACGTGCATCCCGAGGTCGGTCTTGGACGAGGTCGGAGACGGGCTTTTTGCCGAGCTTGATTTCGTGCAAGAGGCCCCGCACCTGTCTTTCCAAGTGGTTTAAGTATAAGTTAAGAAGGCATTATCCACGCTGTCTGCCAGGCCAGGCATGCTGAACTATTTCAAAGTCTTTATGGCGCAAAATGTCCTGACGTGGTCGTGCCTGAGGCACCCTAGCTGCTCTAGCTACTCTTCGGCAGCAAAGGGAAGTGCCTTGAGAAGTGATTGCTGTGGCTGGGGTGCAGGTTATTTGGTCCCGGACCAGTACTCGAGTGGCCGCCTTGAGAGAGGATTCGCGGAGGATCTATAGCCATGCTATGTCCGCCGAGGTCCTGACGACCACGTGGTTGCATGGTCGCAAGCCTCGAGACTTGAGTGCACAAGAAAAGCTGCGCCTGGTAAACCTGGCAGGGCGCCTGCCTGAGCTTGTAGCGGCGTTAGGTGACCGACGTAGCTGGATTGCAAATTTCCGAGTGCTGCCTAGGCCATGCTTGTCATTGTCATCCTTGCGTGTTTGGAGCTGGAGACCATGCAATCACATGCAGGCATATGCAAGCTAAACGCCTGACCCCAACTCGAGAGGCAATTAATGGACGCCGGTTTCGTGCATTGTGACCCACATGAGGGCAACATGCGTCTTGGCAGCTTCATTCAATTTATTTGTTCGATTCGGCGACCGTTTGGCGCTGAGTTTCCTTGATGTTCCGAGGATGCTTCTCGACGATGGACGCCTCGGTTTGATCGACTTCGGCCTGGTGGCGCAGATGACAGCGGTTCATCAGGCCTTTTGTGCATTCAGCCACGGCTCTCATATCCCAGAGTGCAGCAGGAGAGCATGGCCTCCGCAATCCTCAGCCTGTTGGCGGAAGATTACAAAGCACTGGTGCCGAGACCTCATCTGCTTTGTCGAATGTGTTTTCTTCGTTGAGTCTGCTGTCTGAGGCCGTGCTTTCGAGGAATGGGTATTCTGAGTTCCGAGCGAGAAGATGACGAGGATTTAAAGCGACCGGGCGAAGAGCAGCATCCCTTCCGAGCTTCAATTGGAAGTCGGAAGTCAAAACAGACAGTTTCGTGCATCGCGCTTGGCTGGCCAGGCCCTTTGCAATAGCACTGGAGGAGGCTTTGCAGGGAGGGCAGAAAGATGCAAAGCGATTGGTGCAGGCCTGGCTGACTCCCACTAAAAGTCGGATGCACGTGAAGACGTGAGGATGGCATGGGAGTGGACCGTCGACGTGCCTTTGGACAGCTCATCACTTGATCGGATTTCAAGGCGAACGCAGACGCTGGCCGTGCTTCGGTTGGCTGAGGCTGTATGAGGAACTGAGCAACCTAGCCTTCCGTCGGATTCCTAGTTTACGGAAGCCTGGATATCAACAGAAAGCCTCACCGTTTCAGTGTAGATCCAGATCCAGCAGGCTACTACTTCACCTTGCCGTGAAGACCTAAGCCCTCCCACCGCAAAGGGCAGCCTTGAAAAAGGCCTCTTTTCGCTCAGGTCTTACTATGTGCTTGTGATGCGTTCCTTCGTGACGCAGCTCGATAGCAACGGAACGTGGGCGGTCTGCATGCTGGTGACATGTGGTTGTAAAGAGAGAAAGGCTGGAAGGAATAGCTTTCGCCGCCGATCCGGACTTCAACATGCGACCCCTTCGATGTTTCATGAGACATTGCAAGGCTCGTGCCGGAGTCGTGCTGTATGAGAATGTCATGTCCCAGGGTCATGTGGAGCACAGCAGGTACACAACATCATCGCCGTTTGCTCTGCGGAGACTCCTGCCTGCGCCTCATGTGACAGCCTATAGCAACAACCTGGGGCTGCAATGTTCCGTCGTGCGCCCAGGATGCCCCGCACTGCAACTGGCAGGAAGCTCTTGGAAGAAAGGCTCGTGGAGAGACAGGACGGCCACGCTGCTGCAAGTGACCTGCACTTGCACCGCGTCTCAATTCTAAACCCCGGATCGCGAGGAGTCCGGACTGCGACTGAGGCACGAATGCGAGCTTTCCATCATGGCATGATGGTTTGCGAATCTCTGTGAACCGAAAACAGCCAGCAAGTAAATGTCGCACGAGGAACCAAGAGCAAGTACGGGGCGAGATCTGACCTGACAGCACCTAATCTATCAACCGGTGAGCAATGCGTTCCTTTCTTCCTCTGCGCATCTCTGCGCACAAGGGCGATCATACTTGATCTTTCTGCGCGGTGATGTTCGAATGGTTGGCTGCTCAAGCTTGCTCCGGGGCCATGCGCATGCCTTTCAAGCAAACGTCATGAACGTTCGACTCTGACCACCTGATTCCCTTGGCGAGACACGCGAGACAAGGCGATTCGAGGAAAAGATTTCAGCATAGCACAGACACCAACTTGAAGAGGGTTTGAGGACAAAACCATAATATTTCTGGATGCCAGGTTGTGGTCGCTTTTGCAAGGCCGGCTCATGTACGGCAAGAGGCCTGTACCGGCGTGGTCGTGTGGTTCGTGTGGCAGCGGAGCTCAAAGTGCGGTGCACTTCCAGCAGGTCTTCTAAGCAAGACGTCACCGGTACGGTCGGCACGGCCGGGCTGCTCGCATTTTCAGAAGGTCAAGGCCAGGCCGCCGAATGAATGGCCGCAAGGTCTCGAGAACTGTCATGGAGGCTGAGAGCGGCTTGCAGACGTAGACGACGCAGCGACTACATGGCAAGACAATGCTCAAGTCTGCTTTGAGGTCCTCATTACAGTTCCCCATGGACGCGCCTTGCGGCGAGTCCTCGTGCGAGGCTCAGCACAAGAAGTCTTGCATATGTGATAGTTCAGCTTGGGCAGATAAGTCGACAACTGGGTGCTTGCACCACATACATAAGCGGTGCTGTCTTTGTGTCATTGCTCGATGCTCGCCTAGCCTGCAGTTCACGACTGCACAGTGCGCAGAGTTGGTACATCCCATCCACGACTTAGTAGACTGTAGTCAGGCAACGCTGGATAGTGTCAGCCTCATCGAGGACATGCCTGCCGCTACGCACTCCTTGTGGCGGTTTGTGTAGGACATTGCACCGTTGAGGTGCGCGAAGACCTTGCTTGCAAGTGCCTCTGTGTTCAAGAGCTGCTCTGAAAAACGGACATGTTCAGAGGACTTGACGGCACCGGCCACAGCTCCGCTCAGACGTGTTGCAGCAAAAGCCCGCGGCTCATGCACCTCCGAGCATGGCTGTTCGCTCGCCGTTGTCAGCGTGTCAGTCGCTATCCAACGGTGCGAGAGTTGCGAGCCCAGAGGCATGTAAGACATGCAGAGATAACAGTCGCATTACTACCCCAAACTTTCAGATGCTGGCCGCAAATCGAGGACCTTGACCTCACGTGAACCATCGTGAACCCGTAATCCTGGGCCATGTCAGGTCCTGCTGTCCGGCGGGACAAGCTCTTGCCGTCGCAGGCATTTCCTAGCATGCCTGATGTCATGTCCCCAACAGCACACTTCTGAAGTTGAGGTCTCCTCAACGGTTGCTGAAGCGGATAATGCTGAAACACCTGCGGCGAGCGGCCGAAACCAGGCCAGATCGGGATGCCCACCAAGAAAGCCTGATATTTTTGATATAACCATGCAAAGCACCATCGACGAAACCTCAAACCGCACTGAATCGCACCTCAAGAAGTCATTGAATTAAACTGCGTCCTTTTCAACATCAGCTGCTGTTTCTTGTCGTTAGCAGAGTCGACTGTGTTTGCAATGAGGTTCGGCAATGTGCAGTATAGATCGATGTAAGTTTCGCCAGCCAGCTGAAGCCGAATGGAGACAGTACATACAGCAAACAACTCAATCATCGTACATCAGTAGCGCCGCAATGCCTTAGCTTTGCTGTTGCCGTTTGTCCTTTACGGATTGTCCGACTGCGAGTGTCAAAAAGTCATGCAGCATTTTGAGCCGTGCACTTACCCTTCGGACACCGGGCGTGTGTGTTTCGATGCGGGGCACTACAACCACTGATGCACGGTACACGGCACCACGACTGCTGGCATTGAGTGGCTTGTGGATTGCATTCTGAACGGGATGTTGCTTCTCAGCTTGAAGCATTGCAGCGTGACGGGACTTGCGATGCTGCCTTCTGGCTTTACATATGGTTTCGCCATGCATGCGATGGTACTTCACACGGCCAATCTTTGTAGCAACAGCCTGGCGGGATGCCAACTGCTGCCTTCAGGGACTGTGTTTTCCTACTGGCCCTAAACAATCTAAAGTGATCAGAGCTGTTTTATGGTGCAAGTCCCCCATGGCCAGAGGAGCACCTGTGAGACACCCGACACCCTTAATTCCCCAACAGTTTGCCGCAGAACAAAACTCTGCAGATAGAAAATGCCCCGAAGCTTTCCGAAAAGGGAATTTTCCATTCCCGAGTAGCGCCTCACTGTCCGCACCTGCACGTGATAAAATAAGGACCGTCAGGTGATTGCCGCCAGACCGAGCGCTGCAGATTGTGTTTGTATAATTAGTATAGGACTTTCTAGCGCCTTGGAAAATGAAACATCATGTTGCACGACCTTGCAAAGTGGAATGACATTGTTTTGAAGTTTATTGATGCTGATTTCAGATTCTTGGCTCGGGAAGGCTTCGGCTTCCAGGCCTCGGAACATGTTTGCTCCCACCGTCCCTTTCTCAGGCCGCTGCTGGCTGCGAAGTTTGTTTCCCAGCTTTGCTTTGCACTTGCGCTGGGCCCTCAGAAATTTGATTTCTCTTTAGTTCCGGATATCGAGTTTAGAGTGTCAGTCTAAGGCTACGTGCATTGCCTTGGAAGCGAAGATGAAGTTTCATTTAACGAGCGGAAGCGCTTCCGCCACGCCCGCAGTCAACCTGGCTGCTGCCTCTTGTAGAACGGCCTTCGTGTCACCCGCCGAACGGCTTGAAGCAACTCTTAGTCTCAGTCGAGAGGTTGCTCCAATTGAAAAACGACTTCGCATGGCGCTGCTGGTTCCCCACCGCCTGGAATACAGTGAATACAGTGCAGGTGACTACGATGGCTAGGTCAGCTTTCTTCTGGCATCACACTTGCAGGTGGTAGATGCTGGCACATGCTGTAGAGTTGTGTCCAAGACGGTCTGTGGGCACTTCACGCTGGTGACTAGTGGTGTCCAACTCTATTTGTGGCATTAAGATGTCTACAGGATGGCCTAAGGTGCGGACGCGTTTCTGGAATCCTCGAGAACCAAGACAGCTGAGGAGCATTTTTGCCCTTTGCTTGAGCCAACCGCCTGGATTAAGACCCTTGGCGACAGTCCCCTTGGCATGTTGTTTCTGGGCTGGGATATTTGCGTTTCTGCACAATCCGATAATATCACCTGCTATATTTGTTACTGATTCGTCTGTTGTTTTCACGAATCGAGACCTGGTGCCAGCCAGGAGGCCTGAGCCCCCTGAGCAAACTTGTTCCTGGGCATGCTGCAGGGTGTTCAAAAAAAGGGGTGACAAGACTCCAAAATACTGCTTTCTCAGAGCCTCTCCTGTTATAAGCACTGTTCGCACAGGTGTTTTGCTGAAACGTGTACATCGGCCTGACTGCCGTTCGTGCCGGTAGCTAACAGGCAGCAAGCACAAACTTCGTGGATTGCGATTGGTGCTTCCACTTCTTATTCCTGAATTTCGTCGAAGCTTCGTTTCCTGTGAGCGGAGCTGTGGAGCATTGTGGAGCACTTCGGGGTCGGACTGGAGCACACCTGCCATGACTTCACACATGACACCGTACCTTAGCCTTACCTTCTTCCGATGCCATAAATACTCGAGTGTATAGGTTTAATCCTTGTCCCAAAGAAGCCGTGTGACTGCCTGAAACCTTGTCTGGACCTCACGGCAAGCGGCTCTTTGATAGATTTAACTGATAGCATTTCGTCTCGCGATTGGCATTGTTTTGGACATGTTCTGGCTCAGGGCTGCTGGGAATGTCTCCGAGATGGCGGAAACCTTACCTGTACATGTAGAGTATGCCACAGCCTATGCACGGTTACCTCTTCACCAGACACCTCCGTTGTCCAAAGGCCGCGCGGGACACAATCGAAATCATAGCTGTGTGCCCAGCGCTGCCAATATCCCCAAACTGAAGTCTAGGTCTAGGTGCATCAAGATTTGAATCGCTTTTCCACTGTCACGAGGATGGTGTCCACTCCGGCACGACTCGGCTGTCCTTGAAGACCCAGCCAGAAGCTGCGAAAGTCACAGAGATGTCACTTGGAAACTGGAATGGTGGAGATGCTGTGCTCCAGGTTGGAACGCTTCGGAGAGATCGACATCTGTCACAAGATAGGGGACCCACGAGAGGACATTCCAAGTTGAGGGCCGGCTTCATGAAAAGGCGGCTTCGGTCCTCTCCTGTTCCCGTGCCCTTGTGCCCTTGTGTCCTTGTGCCCTTGTGTCCCGTGCCCTTGTGCCCGTGTGCCCTTGTGCCTTTGTGCCCTTCTGTCCTTGTCTCCTGGCCTCGGCCTGGTCAAGCTGGTATGAAGTTTCGAATGCCTCGCTTTCGTTGGCGTTCTTTTGCTGGCTGTCCAAGATGGTCTGATATACATGTATATGTATACATATATGTATGTGTATAGGTATATGTATGTGTATGGGTATGTGTATATGTATATGTATGTATATGTGTATGTGTATCTGTATATATGTATATATGTATGCGTGAATTTGTGTATATACATATGTATATATATATATGTCTTTGTGTATACATGTGTATATGTATATGTATATGTGTATTTTTGTATATATGTACACATGTGTATATGTATATATGTATATGTGTATATATGTATATATGTATATATGTATATATGTATATATGTATATATGTATACATGTATACATGTATATATGTATATGTGTATATGTGTATATGTAAACATATGTATATATGTATATATGTATATATGTATATATGTATATATGTATATATGTATATATGTATATATGTATATATGTATATATGCATAATATGTATATATGTATATATGCATAATATGTATATATGTATATATGTATATATGTATATATGTATATATGTATTTATGTATATATGTATATGTGTATTTGTGTAAATATGTACACATATACGTATATGCATATATGTATATGTGTAGACGTGTTTTTGTGTATATATGTGTATATGTATATGTGTATATATGTATATATGCACATATGTGTTTGTGTATATGTGCAGTATTAATGTACACATGTGTTTCATGTGTTATATGTATATATGTATATACGGGTCAGAATATTCTCACCCCTGGGCCATTTATAAGTTTAGTTCCAAATTTTCCAGATTTCTTTGCTTGATCTGCAGGACACCCCGTGGGTCCGTTTCCGTGCCATGCCTGTGCAGATCAGCTAGTATCTGGCTTGCCAAGCAAAGCTCGCAAGGTGATTCCTCAGCAGCGCAGTCGGCACTGGATGCCATTGCAGCAGCCTCAAAGTCTAACAAACCACGTCCTGCCCGCGCGGAGGGTTTCGTCCTTGGGCCTTTCGGCTTTCGGCCCATCACTTTATGACTTCTTGGCGTCTGGGCCGGCTTCGTGTTGTTTTGGCTGTTTTCTGGCTTTTTCGCTTCATGGGTTCTCGGGCTTGTTGACTGTTGGCTGCTGGGCTTTCTGGCTTCCTTGCTTTTTGGCTTGAGTGCTCGGGCTGGCTTCTGGCTTTCCGGCATTGTGGCTTCCGGGAATTTGGCCATGCGCTCGGGGCCCCAGCGTTGCTTGATCGAAAACACCTGCGGCGGAACAACGGCCGCTTCCAAGTTAGGATGATACCGCGCGATAAGCGCATGCATTTCATAGTGTTAGTTGCACTATATGATATTGTGTTCTATGCACGAACTCGTTTACAGGCAGCCCGCGGCACTAGGGAACGCGGGCTGGGTTTAGACCGTACCGGGGGCCTGCGGCGCCAACAGGGAGCGTGAGCTGGGTTTAGACCATCCCAGGGGAGTATGGTCGCAAGGTTGCACACCACATGCAGGAATTGTTTGGCTGGGGCGGTCCTAAGGTAAGCTCAATGCGAACAGAAATCATTTTGTTGATTCTGATTTTCAATGAAAACGTGGCCTGTCGATTTTTTAGGTTTGAGAAATTCAGCTAGAGGTGCCACAGAAAGATATCACAGGGATGGCGGGCTTGTGGCAGCCAAGTGTTCATAGCGACGTTGCGTTTTGATCTCGATGGGCTCTAGAACCATCTCTGGAGCGGACAAGGGGACTCCGCGCACATGAATGGATCAAGGAGATTTCCATTGTCCCTACCCATACTGTCCAGTGCAACCACCGCCAAAGGAACGGGCTTGGGTTTCCAGCGGGGGAAGAAGATGTTGTTGAGCTTCCCTCTAGTCCGACTTCGTGAAATGACCTACAGGGTGCCAGGACGTGTAGCAAAAGTGGCAGTTTCGGTGATCTTGAAATACCCTTTCTTTTAATGTCATTTTACTAATTATTCCGTGAGACTAAAACTCGCATCGGCGCGCGCATCTCCGGTAACACATGTGACGCTTTGTGCGCGCATCTCCGGTCTCCCGAACACGTGACAACGCAAGCGCTTTGTGCGCGCATCTCAAGTAACACAGGTGATCGGCTTCGGTAAATGTCCGGTACTGATCAGTCTGAGGGGTAGACCCCAGATGCATTACGCCTCCTACCAGACGGTACGGGGTCCACTGCACACATCTGCACACGATCAGATGCACCCACAAACACTACCGACCGGGAAGCTCACCTGCTGCATCACCCTGCATGGGAGGCAAAGGCGGTTTTTCCCTTGGGCTGGATCTGCATACCGGGCCAGACTCACCAATACAAACGACGAGGCTGGAGCCTGCTGTGTATCCCATGATCGGACGCGGTCCTGAGGCGTGGATTGTCGAGACCCGGGCAGTGACAACTGTACGAAGATGGAGCCTGATACACGAGGTCTCAGCGCCTGAACCATGTCTTCAGCTGGCCTCGCTTCCCAATGACACGTGAGTTCCACAAAATCTGCCGCCTCGCCACACCTGATCACGACTGCAACGAAGAGAAAGCAAGCTCTGCGAATGTGGAAGCGAGTGACCAACCTGTACCACGAGAGCTGAGAAGGTGACTGAGTCGGTTTCACGCGAGACGAGCTTAGCCTTAGCTCAGGTAAAGGTTTCGTAAGGGCCACGCCAGCAGCCTGAACTATTTTGTTAGCCTGACCTGTGTGTGTTATGCTTTGTCAAGGCTTTGGTGTGGCTGCACTTCTAGACAGTCCAAGCACTACTGCAATCTCGGCATCCGATGTCCTGAGTGGCCTTAACTTGTGTTTTGTTGTCCTTCAATGAATCGGATGCCCTCGACACTTGTACTTTAAGGCTGAGTACCCCAGATTGCTATAAACCTTGCCAGTGCAAACTTCCACGCAACTTCCCCGAACATGTCGGTCACAACACAATCTCTGTCAGATCTCTCGCTATATACTTGGGACTTTCCCATGCCTTCGAATTTCGGTTGGTGTTTTCATTCCCGTGCTTTTGTCTAGAGTGAAGAGTCTAGAGAGTCCTGCTTTCCGTGCTGAGGCAAGGGGCGAAGTGCTTATCGACGGTGTCATGGTCCCGGACTGCCGAATCCAGTGTATAGTCTGTATTCTTTGCATGTCAGGTCGCAATACGTGCGCAGTTCACTTCCAAGATCGAGCGAATGTCCATCGTTCAGGTGTTCATTCTTCTTGCCTTGCTGGGTGTTTGACAAGGTGGCGAGGCCGAAAGAAGGAGCCCCCGGGTTTGAAGTCGGGCGCGCGTGCTGCCTGCTTGTTTTCTGCCCATTTCTGCCCTAGAAGCTGGGGTGCACGCACTGAATGCCGAGAGACAGGTACCAGTCGGGATATATATTTGGAGCAGTGCCATCCTCAATGAAATCGAGTTCGGGATTTAAGACCTGCATGACAGAAATTGCCAGATTCCAAGGCAGCGAAAGCGCGGCAGGCACCATGCCCGACCCTTGCATCTCTGGTCCCCTCCAACTCCGTGTGCCTGAGTTCTGGATTCCCTGCATCGCTTATTCGACCAGACTTCAACGGGCGGCCGCATCAGCTCAAGCCTCCTTAAGGGAGGTCGCGAGTTTGCAATGTTTCATGTGATATTTCACGTGGTCGCTCATGAAGACGTGGCATGAACAACGCTGACGACAAGGCCGCAAAGACCACATTTGCGTCATATTCAGTGGTGAGCTCTCTCACAGAAACTTTCATGCCAGCCGGTGAAGTTAAGGGCTCCAGATGTCTGGCGAGCTCGCGCAGTTGAGGTGCGGATGTTTGAAGCTTCCCGCTGGCATCCCAAAGAACACAAGCCCAGATCGTTCTGGCCAGGTTGACGGGCCAAAGCACTGCGGGCCCAGTCCCTGCCGAGGCGCGAGTGTGCGTCTGCCAAGGGTGTCCAGTTGGAAGTGGCGGCCAGGCACATGAAGCCACAAGCGATGATGAGGCTGCAGGAGGCGATGCTCCACGCACCCACACACCCATGCACCCACACACCCAACACCCAACACACCCAACACACCCAACAAACCCCAACAATCCCAATAATTCCAACACACCCAACACACTCAAACCACCCACACACCCACAAACCCAACACGGCCCCCCCCCCCCCCCCCCCCCCATCCACCCCACCCACCCACCCACGCCCACACCCACACCCACACCCGTACCCAAAAACAAACCCAAACCCACCCACCCACACGGACACCCACACGGACACCCACATGGACACGCACATGCGCACGCACACGCACACGGGCACGTGCACGCCCGCACGCCCGTACGCCCGTACGCACGCCCGCACGCCCGCACGCCCGCACACACCTGCACACACCCGCATGCCCGCACACCCGCCCGCACGCCCGCACGCCCCCCGCACGCGCCCGCCCGCCCGCACGCCCGCACGCCCCCCGCACGGCCCGCACGGCCCGCACGGCCCGCACGCCCCTCGCACACACGCACGCCCTGGGCTGAAGTATCCAAAACAACAACAACTAAGAGATAGTCGGCACGGCGCGCTCTTCTGCAAACTCGGGGGGGGGAGGGTCACCACCCACCCCCCCCCTCAACGCTCACTGTTGCGTCCCCCATTCACCACCCACCCCCCACCCCCCCCTACCCACCCACCCACCCCCCCCTCCTATCGGCTATAGTGGTGCTCGTAGAAGCGGTAGTCATAGTCGTAGTAGTAGTAGTAGTAGTAGTAGTAGTAGTAGTAGTAGTAGTAGTAGTAGTGGTAGTATAGTAGTAGTAGTAGTAGTAGTAGTAGTATAGTAGCAGCAGAGGGAAGTAGTAGATGTTCCAAGCCTTCTAAACCCTTGCCGATCACGTCAAACCCTAAACCCAGCCCTCGGGCTACCTATCCGAAACCTGTCTTTCTACTTGCACATCCATGTTAAAGTTGTGGCCTCCTCAGGTAGGGCTTGCATGAAGCCTGAGATAGCCTGGATATTCTTCCATGCCGTACCCGTTACTAAGCCTTATCCTGTGGTAGTAGTAGTAGTAGTAGCAGCAGTAGTGGAAGTAGTGGAAGTAGTGCTAGTCGTAGTAGTAGTAGTAGTAGCAGCAGCAGGAGTAGTAGTACAGTGGTAGTAATAGCACAAGTAGTAGTATTACTCTTTTTATTGAAGGTGCCGCCGACCCCGCTCCCAGCGGCCCGGCGCAGGTAGGCGGCATGAAGTAGGAGGGCACCCCCAAACCCCAAGTCCTGCAGCCCGCCATTCCGGCTCTGTAGCGGCCGCGGGGGTGGCATGTCGAAAAGCAGCAATGCGCGGCGCAACAGAAATATAGAATAGAAAAATATATAGATATAGAAACATAGCAAGAGTCTCAACCCGGGGGGGGTGGTGAGCCCCAGCCCAGGGGAAGGGGGGGGCCAAACCTTGCGGCGGGGGGGGGGGGGGGTCCGGCGTGTCCCCGGAACCCGCTGTTGGAGGCCGGGGGTGGGCGGACCTGCCTGGTGGTAGCACCGAAAGGGCGGCGTCGCGGGCGTGTCCGGCGTGCCGGGTGGTCGTGCTGGGGCAGCAATAGAATGGAATAGAATCGAAAAATATAGAAATAGAATAGAAAGATAGAATAGAAAAATCAAAAATATATAGATATAGAAACATAGCAACCTTTTCCAAAGGCCATTTCCAAGGCCCCTTGGATTTCTTGGATTTCCGGCTGTGTCCGGCGTGCCGGGTGGTCGTGCTGGAGCAGCAATAGAATGGAAATAGAATAAAAAGAGGGGGTGCGGGGTGTCCGGCGTGTCCCGATAAACCGAAAGGGCGTCGCGGGCGTGTCCGGCGTGTTCGGCGTGGGGGGGGGGCCGAAAGGGCGGCGTCGCGGGCGTGTCCGGCGTGTCCGGCGTGCCGGGTGGCCGTGCTGGAGCAGCAATAGAATAGAAATAGAATAGAAAGATAGAAGAGAAAAATATAGATATAGAAACATAGCAAGAGTTAGAAACCGAGAAACCGGGGGTGGGGCTCCTGGCGCCGACCGCGGTCGGCGGATTAGTCGTAAAATACGGCCGCTAAAAGTAAAAGAATAGTACGAGTAATAGCAGTAGCAGTAGCAGTAGCAGTAGCAGTAGTAGTAGTAGTAGTAGTCGTCGTCGTGGTAGTAGTAGTAGTAGTAGTAGTAGTAGCAGTAGCAGTAGCAGTAGCAGTAGCAGTAGCAGTAGCAGTAGCAGTAGCAGTAGCAGTAGCAGTAGCAGTAGCAGTAGCAGTAGCAGCTTGAGCTTTGCACGCAGCAGAGGAGTCCGTCTGCCTGGCGTCGGGAAAGAGCAGGCTGCTTAAAGAGCCCGGAACCTTTGGTTCGTGATCGTTTGATCACCTCAGAACTTCGGACATACATCACACACCGTTCCGCAGAACATATAAAGCATGTGTGTTGCCCAGTTGCTAGCGAACTGTCATGAGTGCTCTGGCGGAGCATTGCGTAAGCAATAGAAAAGAGCGTAGCAGGATTTGCATTGACTATATTGACTCGTGGTCAACTGGCTCCGCCGTTGAGCTACTCGGCCATCATTGCAGCAGCAAAATCCATCCTGGATCAGGGTTGCAGTGTAATGTCCCGTTGAAGGCAAATTGCCATGATGCTCGATGAAAGCGCACAAATCATACTCAGCATAGTGAATCTCCGACCTGGGCCCCCGTAGTACAGGTACTCTCAGAGTGTCGTCAAGACGTACCTGTATGTGATTTTTGGTGATGCGACCACGCTTCTGATCAAAGCGATGCAGTTGAAAGAGAATGGAGAGGGGCACAATGTTCAAACCATGTATGCGATCGATACAACGATGCCACTCATCAACCAGATGCTGTATCCTAGGCGGAGTAACATTCCGCGAAGGCTGTGGCAAATGCAGAATGATAGGCTGAGTGCATAACCCCGCATCCAGCTGATGAAAAGTCCCAGCCATGATGGGCGTTCTCGCCAAGCATGAGCCTGCAAAAATGCCAAAGCTGGATTGATTCGTGAGATGAGCGAAGAATTCGCACACATCATGTTGTTGATGCACCTCCCCCCAGCCATCCAGCAGCAGCTGCCACCTGTGATTGTCAATCAAAGCAACCGGCATGTTCAGTTCCCTTTGGAGGACACTGAGGAAGAAGCTGTCAGCATCATTCCCCATGGAAAGACCATCACTTCCCAGCTTCTCAAGCAGCCATGTGATAACCTGGACCACGGCATTCATGTAGCACTGGTTTCCAGAATTGCGAAGTACAAGCTGAGCGGCCCGCATAGAAGCAAATGTGGAGGCTTCAGAGTTCACTGCTGGCCGTACATCAGATCGCGAATGCGCTGCTCCATTGGGCTCCGGCCAAGGTTCTCCGTTTTGTAGTTGGTGGCGATGAGCTGGAAGACCGCATTGTTCTGAAGAAGCCGCAGAGTTTCCCAAAGAGTTGTGGAGAACTGACTCCTGAGAGAAACATCCAGGACGAAAGTTGCCTGGGACGTCATTGTTTCTGTAAGTTTTCTCTTGCACGTGAAGCGGTTCACGATGGGATGCTTGAGACACTGAAGAATGGTAGCCAGGTGATCCAGGAGCTGGTCGTCCGGTAGAGGGCTTAGATGTTTCAGGGTGGGGTTCCAGCGTTGGAACCTCCACCCTGACTCGTTTCTCCAGCCTTTGTCCGTCACCATTTTGAGCTTCTCCTGAGAGGCCAGTACTTGGTTCAGCCGATCGATCAATTCCTTGAACAGTGCCACCGCAAGAACCATCCGAAGGGGAACATGTCCTAGCTTCCATCCTGGGTCCGCCTCCTGCTGCTTTTTGAATTTGACAGCTGTTTGATAGAGGTGGCTCAAGGCGGAGTACTCCCCCGCCTTGAGGAACAGTATGTAAGACGTGTCCTGACGGAGGACTTGCAGCTCCTCCTGCTGCTTGAGGACCGTTCTTGCCAAAGTAAAGAGCAATGGATCTCTGTGCGGAGCGCGAGGTGGATGTGGTCCCTGAGGGTACTGAGGTGCTCGAAAAGGTGAGGGTGTGGGCCGGTAAGTCCCGAACGGATCCCGACGTCTCTTGTTGGGAGTCGTGAAGGGGTTCCTGGGTGGAACTCCCGCTGGGGGCATAGTGCCCGGCATCTCCTCCATATCCTGGTAGTCCCCGAAGAAGTCCGCCATGTCCTGGTCCAATCCGTGCATCCTGATGACGGGCACACAACATGGCACATTGCCATAGAGCCGTGCATTTCTGCAAGTGCGCCTTCCAGTCCTTGGTCCGCCGCTGGCAAAAGTGGCAAGTGATGCTTGGGGTGGCTTTTTGTGTGATGAGTTGTTGTGCTTTGCTTTGGAAGGCGTGTAAAACATCAGCATGTGAATGCTTGTAAGGTGTCTTCGTGACTTTGTGCGTGGTTGTCCACTGTCCACATAGAGCACAATGCTGTAGAAGATGCTTGGTGATGTGCGGTAAATGTATAAAGTGGTTCAGTCCTTTCTCAAGGGTATCCTGTACAAGAGCCATCTGCGCCAGGGGTCCATGAAGTTCAGGAAGATCAGAAGAAGATGTCTGGGGCTGTGGGTGTGGTTGCGGCAAAGGAGAACTTGATCTTTTTGGCCTCTCCGAAAGTTCTTCGGGCTTGGGGTCCTGAGAGATGCGTCCATCCCCCACAGGTACGGGGACATCATGAGCTCCGGATGCCTGCATAACTTGAGCAGGACAGGAGTGATTGTTTATGTGCTGCTCCAGGGTCTGCCAGCGACTGAATTTACGTAGACAGCCTGCACATTGTGGTAAACCGCGTAGAGCATGTTTGCTTTTGTCCAAGATTTTGCTCGGTGTGTCCACCAATTTATGTGCTCGTCTTGCATGAATCTTTAGAGCAGCTGTGTTACTGAATTGTTCCGCACAGACTGGGCAGGCCCAGACCTCTTGTTCAGCATCCGACTCAGGCTGCTCAGCATGAGCAGCTTCTTGAAGACTGCGACCAATGGCCTGATTCCAGTGGGAGTCAATCATCCAGCCTCCATGTTGTTCAAGCTCGAGTTCCCGGCCATGTGCAGTTTCAAGGATGGAGCCCGCCGTCCTAAGGTGATATTTCTGCATAACCTCCTCATGCGTGGTGCCCTTGAGGAAGGCTTGGTTCGATACAATGGCCCTAACGTGTTTCATAATCGTCTTCTGCAAGGAGTGGATGTGACCTGACGATAAACAGAAACAGTGAAGAGCGTACATCATGGTGGAGAGCACGCAGCTCTGCCACAGCTGCAGCTTGTAGGCTATCGACATCTGTTTGGTGTGCAGAATTGGCGCCAGCGCCCACCGCCGATGATTGGCCTTTGCAAGCCGATGGTGTACCGATTGTTTCTCGAAGTGATTGTAAGAAATGATGAGTCCAAGGTATTCCGCCTGGTCGACCAGCAATACCCATTTGGCTGGATAGCCTGGTGATAGAAGAAGTCTTCGATCCGAACCCTGTGTGCGAACATAGAGCTTGTGTATTTTATGCTTGATCGGACCTGTGACTGAGAGGATGTGACTTGCTGGATCCTCGGTCCTCGCCCTCTGGTTTTGGGCTCGACGATCTGAAGGAAGAACCTGCAGTCCGCCCTCAGCAAGTCGCACGGCATCTGAAGGTCCTGCCGGCGGGCCTTCAAAACCTCCCCTGCAGCATCCGTAAAACCCCAACATCGTCACGACTGCCCAGCGAAACCAGCCTAGGCTCAAAGCAAGACTGATCATGGCCTCGAAGATGGGCTCCGGTAGAGGAGGGCGATGTTGAACGGGCTCCAGGCGCTCCCAGCGACTGAGAGTTTCCCATCCTGGCTTCAGCAATGGACGACAGAGAGGGCAACGACGTTGGGGGGTCTCGAGCAGTTGTCGAAAGTGTTGCAGCGGAGACCCGCTGCTGTAGAGCACTTGCCCGAACGCGCACAACATCTCAACCAGAACTTCCGGCACAAGCGAAATGGAGTTAGCAGCCTCTTCCCCTGTGCCCTCGACAACCCAGCTCAGGAATCTCGACCAGATCGCAACTTGTAGACCAGCAGTAGTCGGTTCAACCAACGGAACGTCACGAAGGAGTAGGTCAGGCCGCTCGGGCTGTGGGCGAGGCCCGGGGTGGCTCGCTTCACCAATGCGGACACACACCTTGCGCACCCCCAGCGCACACCTGCTCAGCCCTCGAGGCTCTCTAGACAGCTGTAGCCGGGGGAGGTGGTGGACGAGGCGCTGCGGACGAGGCGCTTGCATAAATGCTGCAGCGCCTGCACTCCAACCTCGTCTTGAAGCGGAGCGAAAAGGATGGAAGCGCAGGAAGGAGTGTTCATGAACGAGCATGAACATTTCGACTGTGCAGCTTTTGTGGCCCTCCCGCCACACCCGGACGAGGCGCTTGCATAAATGTTGCAGCGCCTGCACTTCAACCTCGTCTTGAAGCGGAGCGAAAAAGACTGGAAGCGCAGGAAGGAGAGTTCATGCTTGTTTTCGGTTTACAGCTTGCAGGTCTGCGCTTCGCACTCACTACAAGTCTTCGTTTGTGAGGTTTGGGTCCTGGCCTCCTGTTGTCTATGACGCTGAATGAGTCCTGGCCTCTCGTCGTCGCCTGCGAGGCTTGGGTCCTGGCCTCTGCATGGTTGTCGTCAAGATGAGGCTTGAAACGAGGCCTCTAGTCGTCGGTGAGGCTTGGTTCTTGGCCTCCTGCTCCTGTCTTATTTACAACTTGCAGTTCTGCGCTTCGCGCTGTCTGCGAGCCTGCGGTTGTGAGGCTTGGGCCCTGGCCTCCTGCTGTCGTCATGTTGAGGCTTGGGTCCTGGCCGCGCGTCGTCAGTGAGGCTGGGGTCTTGGCCTCTTATTGTCGTGAGGTTGAGGCGAGGGTCCTGGCCCCCTGCTTACTCCGTTTTAGTTGAAAAAGCCAGCCGAAAACAGATGGCCAGATCCTTCGCACGGGGGGGGCTAGCAAATCTCAGCAACTCTGAAAGCGTGGTCTGCGGATAGAAAAGCCGCTGGTTCCATCGCATCTAAAAAGGGTCAAGACTTGCAATGAAACTTGGCATCAAAAACTGGCATAAAGCCAGTAACGGACAAAACATCGCAATCGAATGCCGGCACAATCGAAGCAGAGATTTCAATCGGACCTGGCGGTTCCACTTCGGGAATCAATCAGGTTATCCCTGCGTTTATCGTATCAAATCTGGCACGTACTCGCACGGGCTGATCCCGCCGCAGGTAGCACGGTAAACAAATACAAGACCAGCCTGCAACTACCTGGATCACACTTGGTCATCCATCTCGCAACCACTGACGTGGTGTTTATCAAGCTATGCTTGATGTATCTTGAAAGCATGACTGGTAGTCTGCGTTGGCTGAGGTACCAGTGACGGGCCCTCAGCCCCCTGCTGCTTGAAACATTGGAGTGGGAAACTTGTTTGTTGTGCTATTTCGACAAACACCATGCCAAATCACTGGTGGCTCTTAGTAACAGAGTTCCACATTCCTACACACCCACACGCCGACACACCCACACACCGACACACCCACACACCCACACACCCACAAACTCACACACCCACACACCCACACACCCACACACCCACACACCCACACACCCACACCCACCCACACCCACCCACACCCACCCACACCCACCGACACCCGCCCACACACACTTGACAGAATGTGTCACGGGGTCTCGAGCCAATTGTGTATAGTCAAGATGCACTCTCATTTCAGATCTAGTCACAATCACTTGATCTTTTCACGCGAACTTCAGCATGATGTCATTTTCGGCCAGTGCGAAAGCAACACTTTAAGGGTACATTGTGGATGTACGTCTAGGAGTGTCTTCGGTGAGTGCATGGTGATTCCAACAGCATTCGCCACTTCCCTGCAGAATCTGCCTTCACATCAAAAAGTCTCGTTCACTGAGTGACAATGCCTTCAGACATCAGCTTCTATTTGATCTACACTCGAATCAATGTGGTCTTGTCCAGACATGCATATTTGACTCGTGCTGCACACAGGGTGACAAAGGGTTTGGTACCGAGTTCATGCAGGCCACAGTTTGGATGGCAAGCAGCCATCCCCGACTCCATCATCCAAAGCAGCTTGCAGGCATACAGTCGCAGAAGCATGTGAGCAAAGCTTGCGGACATGGCGGGGGTGACGGACCTGGATTTCGACAATCTGCAAGCATACCTTGAAAAAGTCTCGACTCGTTTCTGTGCTGCAGCCGAGCCGTTGATGTTATCGCAAGGGTCCTTCGAGAGTGCCGGGCGTCGAGAGTGCCGGGCGGGAGGAAGGCTTCTGCGGAGGCGAGGGATAGCTGCACTTGATAACACTGCAGTGTGCAGCTTCTCTAGGATTGCAGAAGCCTGTTGCCAAGCTTGTCAGAGAAGATCTTTTGCAACCTTAGTGTAAGAGGCTCTGTCTTTGTCTACACTGCCTTACGCCTGCAAGATGTTTGATGTGTCGATTTGTTGTTTCGATAGGTTGAAAGTGCATTTCGTCAAGGCATGTGTTAGAGTAACATTGCCGTTGCACTGATGTCTGGACTGCCGGCCTCCGGTCGCATCGATGAAAAGCATGATTTGCTGAGGGATGCTTCCCAAATGCATCGTCACCTAGCACTCGCTTCGTCTCCGAGAGCATCATCCTTTTAGCGATCCAGTGGCGCGATTGACTCGAGAAGTAGATGCACAATTCCTCGCTGGGCTGGGAGTGATGAGTCTGGGTACTCACGACGAGCCTGACGGGCTCTGTGGCCCGTGGCTTTCGTTCCCAGATCGAGAACGGAGCAGCATGATGGCATGATGGTATGAAGATGGACAGCGCTACCTTCTCTGCGAAGGCCAAGTGGAGGAATCAATGGTAAGTATGGGCCATGCGGCCGTCGGATCCGAATAGACATTGCATCGATGCCATCATCATGGCGGGTGCGTCTCCGCTGCGCATCGCTGATACACTGCGATCTCGTATCCGCCGGTCACCCACTAGCCCACTTTGTTTTGGCGTCCCTTCCGTATGCTCCTGGAAACAGCCGATGCGGGTGCACGTGTGTCCCCACCATGCCATGCTTGCAGATCTTGCAGAGGTCCGTTCCCGTGTTCGTTCTACCGGTTCGTGTTTTGACTCAGCTGTGACTTGCAGAAGGAGGTCGCAGATAGCAAATGAGCCAGACCACCAAGCAATGGGTCCCAATGCCACACCTGAAGATCATGCTTTGTTGTCGTAAAGACAACAAAAATCATTTAGAACAGAAGCCACAGTCAGGGAGTTTTCCAGGCCTATGCATGGACGGGAGAGCGACTACACTACACTGACCGCATGACATGACAATACGAGCAAAAAGGAATGAAATACAGCTAGTGGTGGCAATGCAACGGCAAGCTTTTGTCAAAAGATGCGGCCAGCCGAGGCATTGACGCCAAGTTCCAGGTTTCTCAAAATGCAGTATTCCAGGACTTAAGCTTTTGCATATCCCGTGGTCAGTGTCGGGCGAGGTGTAGGATTTGCTGGCATAGAAAGCCGGCGACAGGACTCTCAGCAGTGGTAACAAGATCCCAGCGCCGTGGCAGCTACAACTGCGGAGAATGCTCAAGTCCACGTATTGGGATCTCTTCACAGGTGTCTCGGCCCGATGGAAAGCAAAAGCAATCTACGCTGTGAGCTGAGAGAATGCGAGAGGCGTCACGATCATCATCGACGTGGCGTTCACCTGCCTTGACATTGATTTGAGGGCGGTGGGAGGTGTCTCGCCGCTGTGGTTAGAGCTCGGCTCCGGCCTTTGCCTCTGCATCTACGTGCCCCGGCGCCTCAAAAAAAGCCGAAGCCGCTTGCGCAACTTGCGCTTCTGGCAAGAGCGGCTTGCGGCTGCCAAGGCTTTGGAGCTTGGGGCCGTCTTCGCGGTGCGCCGATGTGCAGTTCTCAAAGATGCCAGATTGCACGATATTGCATGGATCATCTGCTAGTGCCTTCCTGAATCCTGCCATGTGTTCACGAAGGAACCCTGGACACTTCTGGACATCCTCATTGTTGGATCCGGAGTTCTGCAGCTCACGCTTAAGTTTGTCGGCGTGTCCTTAGACAGCAGTCTCGGCTGCAGTCAGTAGCGGTTTTTCGGTTGAAAAGTTAGAGCTGCTGGTATTTTTATGCAAACCGACAACTTTGGAGTTTCGGGCAGGCGTGGCAGTGCTGCGACCGCTGCGTGTGGTGCGCATCATGAGGTGCGCAACACATGTGCTGCTTGGCCAAAGCTTGGGCAGCTTTCCTGTCTCGGCCAGGCTGTTCCGTCTCTTCCGGAAGTTTAGCATGCTCAAAGAGCTTCGCAAGTGCCGTGGCAGAGTCAGCGGTGTGCACTCGGAGTTCCATCGTACGTGAAGCAGATGTGCTGATTTTACGACTGGGCATGCCGCCTAGAACCCTCTTGGCACACGGTTGCTTAAGAAGAGGTGGGCGCGCCAGTGAGTGAGTGTCGGCGAGGCTTATCTCCATGACAGCATCCTGTTTCAAGACGCTTTGCTGGAGTTTCCTGTTCTGCTTCGTGGCCTGAAGACAGCCACTGCAATGATGCTTGGAGTGAGTGCATGTCTCAGCTTAGACCTGTTGAGGTTTTATTGTGATGACTTCCTGGGCGATGCTGGCGGTGGAGATGTTGCAGCCTGTTATACCTTCTCTGGTGGAGGTCGCTTGCATGAACGGGTGATTCTCAGCAGTGGGTGTCACTGCCTTTCACCAAGGATAATTGGCAGGAATGTGGCGACTTCTGTTCGAACTCTTTGAACTCTGTTCCAAGACATGCACGGTGTGCGTGTGACAGAGACCTGGTGCCTCTGAACACCGCACGTTTTGTTGCACGTACCGGTTTACACATAACCAGGTTATGAATGCCAACCTCCTGATATTCAAGACAGTTATCGCCGGAGACAGCTGGGGTGAAGTGGCGGTACCGGTGATACAGGAGTTTCCCCTTGCCATCGTGATTTTCATGGGCGTCTGGATTGCAGTTCAGAGGTGTTGCTTGATAGATTCTCGCAGCGCGGGTAGGCGTGAACAATAGCTGCTGGTTTGCAGGCGGAGCTAGGTGCCAGGTTACTGCAGCTGCGGCGTTGTTGCGGAGATTCTGACTCCTGGACTTGGGAATTATCTTCGGGTTGGCCCATCTGCGGACGAGGCCCTGTTCTCGCACTTAGCTCGTACTTATACTTGTCATACTTACACTAGAGATTTCGGTGTGTGATGACAAACGAGAGTTCCAAGGTTCAGTGCGAAGTCAGGACATAATGCCCACCAAATTACAAGTGCTGTATAAATCCTCAACATCATGTCCGCAAACCCGCAGCGAGAGAAGGTGTGCCACATTTGCAGAGACAGAGGCATGAAGGGATTTGCAGCAGCAATCCTCATCCTCTACATTCTTTTCATTCGATGCTTGAGCTTTTGACTCACCCAAATGGGCAACTTGTGACGGACCTGGTATGGTGCTGTGCTGCAAGTTTGTAGACTGGAAGAGCAGGTGGAGGTGCGCAGGAAACCTGATTGTCCCATGTTGAAAGTCCAAATCTTTTCTGAAGCCCGACATCTGGCATGCAAGGGTCAGATTCCGATGAATCTTCAATCAATCAGGTTCGCATCTCACCATTGTCTTTGGTGTCCTCAATCTCGTGGTTGCTGTGGTGGTGGACACATTCGCCGAGCAACGTACGAAAGATGTGACGAACATGGCAATCGTGTCGTGGCGTGAATGGCCGCAGCCAAGTGTGGCACAGAAGAATTACAAAAGCGCTTACCAAATTACGTTCCAGACATTCCGTTGCATCGCTGCTGCATTCATTGCAGGAGATGGAGGAGAACGAAGAAGAAGATTTGAGGAAATTAGACAAGATGTTTGCCGAGATCGACGGGGACGGAATCATGGCAATAGCTTGAAATTGAAAAGCATCAGCGTTGCTCATCCAAGAGCGTGTTTTAGTTCTCCTCGGAATCTGAAACAAGCTGCAGCACCCGCCTGAGGTGATGGCGAGTTGACTCTTCAAGAGCTTGTAGACGGAGCTCGAAGAGTCCGAGAGTTCCAAAACCGACTTCGAGTCATGGACATAGATCAGGCCTGTACTACTGTTACTGGAATCGGCTTAGAAGGCAGCGACTATGATCCGAATGCTTGAAAAGGAAGCGTGAGCACGGCATCCTACGAGTATGGCGCTTAGTGCAACGGTGCCAGGCTGACCTGGAGCAGCTATTCGGGATGTTGGACCACGACGGCGGGGGCACCATCGACCCTGATGAGTTCAAGGTCACTCTGTCCCGCTGGGCTTTCGAATCAAAGACGGCTACCCGCTTCGTGCGCTATACATTGCAGCAACTCATGGATAATCACCAAACGGCGGCTCAAAAGCTGTCAACTATGGAAGAGCGATTGCAATCTGCTGCGGTCTCGGAACAAGACTACGCTTGTGCAGCATGTTCTCATGTCTTGCTTGTGCCAGAGAATGCGGTTGCTAAGGCTGTCTCTGAAAATCCACGTGGAGGCCCACCACCTCCATGTGGCAAGCGTCGGCGGGCGAGAGGCTGGCAAAGACGCAGCAGAGGATGCGAGGCGATGAATTGCACTGACAGCCAGGTCGTCATGGGTGCAGGCTTCGCACTTCAGCTCGCCATTACAGGCAATCTCTGGCGTCAGATTCACAGCAATTGCAGTGCATTGGAGGGTCACTTGGTCTTTGCAGGGTGCCTTGCTGAGGTTGCCTGCACAACGCATTCCGAGCAAGACGGAGGCCATTGAATTGCTAGACTCCATACTTGCAACCTGCATCGACTTCCTATGTCTGGCAGTTCGCACTCCAAGAGCCAGGCACATGCGTGGCCAGTTGCTGGTGATTGCTTCGGGCCTCGATGTCATCAGTCAATGAAACCAGCACATCTGGGAGAGGTGCGGCCTGAAGAAGCGAGGTTCGGGCCATGTTGACGGAGGGCCAAACCTTGCGGGCAGGTACCGGCTTTCTGCAGCAACGACAGTGCTGCCCAGCCGATCTGGTCTTAGAAATCTCCACAGCTGGGGAAGCCAAACCACTCGAAGTCCGAGTCCTTCTGAAGAGGGAAGGTTGTGCAGTCTTGCAACTTGCTAAAGTCTTCCAGTCCAGGTGCACGGTTTGCACGAGCTCGCACTGTTGCTCTACTAAGCACATCGACACCTAACCAGCTGGGTGCAACATGCGGGTTACGTGCCAGTGGGAAGGGTGCCGGCATGCGAGTCAATAAAAATTTAAGCACATTCCATGACGACATGTTTTGCAAACTTCCCGCAGAGCCATCGCTGTAGTTCCTTCTCGTGCTTCACCCAGGTGCAATACGGAATTCCAGGATTAAGAATAGGATTTAATGACATTCGGTTCAGCCTTGTAGATTCTGCATCAGTTCCACTTATCCAGCGAGTCTTGCCCGTCGGAAGTCACCATGAGCCACCAGTCGGCGTTGCATCATGTTACCGGAGCACCTGAGCGATGCCCCGAGATCTCATGAATTATATTGAAGATTGAGCCGTCATCTGTACAGAATGCTGCGGGGAGATCATGCACGATCCTGCGATGGCGGAACATGACTTGTCGATTTTGAAACCGAAAAGGAGGATCCAGAGAGTTCTTTGAGAGCTCCCTCCGGTTTGCTGTTCTTTGGCAAGAGGCTTCGCGGAGCCTGCAGTTGCCAAGCACGCTGTAGACGGTTGCGTCAGGCGTGGACGGAGCCAGAGCCACAGCCGGAATCCGAGTGGCAGAGGGAGAACAGCACACAAAATGGGTCTGATGGTTCCGGAGTCCTGCCGACGGAGGTTGTATCCGACAGTTTTCAAAAGCAAACTAACATCACGAACAGCTCCGCAGCATGACCCGCCTCTCAGGTAGCAGTGAGAGCGTGAGCTCTCGTAGTCGTCGTGAAACTCGCGACCCTGCTGCAATGAGTATCAATGATCCCGGCAGTTGCAAGTCTAACTAGAGAGAGAGAGAGAGAGAGAGAGAGAGAGAGAGAGAGAGAGAGAGAGAGAGAGAGAGAGTTTTTGGCTCAAGCCACGAGTGGTTCAAGGCCGAGCCAACAGACAGCAGAGGGCCTGAAACCGGGGTTGAGAGCGGAGTGCAGGCCCCGCGACTGAGAGGTCAGAGGTGCCATAGTGAGCACTCGGGCAAGTTCGCTGAACTACGCGGGGACGCCCTGAACGCTTTTGTGCGCGACCTCGGGGGCCTCGGTCCCGTACGGTGGCCGCACGCTGTTCCTTCGGGACATTTACAACCCTCTCCGCCTTCGGCCTCGGCGACCCTACAGGGGGTGTCGATCGCCTACCCGATCCGCCGCAAGAACTGCACTGGGAGGCTGCGGGGGCCTACGGAGAGACCGTGATACTACAACCGCGGCACCGAGAATGGCAACTTCACCCATGGAGACGGGACTGCCAGCCGGGCAGGGAGGGGGAGCAGGCGAGCAGGGGGATTCCCCATGCAAGAAGCAACGAGGCGAAGATCCAGGCACCCTCACGCTCGACATGATCAGGGAAGCCATGAGAGCAGAGCTGGGGCGCAGCAGGGACGAACTGGGGCAATCCATAGCCTCGGTCCGTGAGGAGGTCGCACTCTTCAACAAGCGCGTGGACGGGCTCGAGGCAGGGGTGACCAAACAGATGGACACGACCAACAAGATGTTCGGGATCATGACGGGGAACCACGACAAGCAGCAAAAAGCCTTGGAGCAGATCCGCCTGACCCAAACTGCTCAAGCCGTGGACATCAAAGCCTTCCAGGGGGGGCAGGAGGAACTCGAGAACCGCCTCGCCATCCTCGAAGGCAAGCTCAAAGGCTCCTCGGTCAATGGGGGGAGCACGGCCGACACGGAGGGGCCACGGCGGCCTGCCCTGATTATTGGCGGCTGGCCGGAAGACCAGCCCACGACCGAGACCCTCCAAAAGGCCAAAGACATTCTCCGGCAACTTGACGTCCTCCTCGACTACAGCGAGATGTTCGTACCCGGTTTCAAGCGGGGATATGCCATAGTGCCTATCCCCCAGCGGTGGGGGGAGACAGAAGACCAGCGCCGGGAGATCGTTCAGGCCACCCTGCAAAAAGTTCGGAGAGCAAACGTGATGCTGGGGGTGAACCCCGCCGGGGGGCACCGGAAGCTATGGATGTCGCTCTCCCAGTCCCCCGAGCGCAGGCGAAAGTCAAGATTGGCTGGCAAAGTAAAGAGAGCTCTCCACGGGCACGGTCTGGTACGACCATGAGCGGCTCAGCAGCGCCACCCAGGGGGGCAGAACGCGCAGGGTGGGCTGGGTCAATCTGCAGACCATGGCCCGCCTGCTTGGCAAGGACGCTCAGGAGGTTAGAGATGCGTGGCAGCCGCGGAAGGACGAGCTGCGCTGAGCCACCCAACAAACGCGGGTCTCTCACAGACCGCCACTGCCCCCCGAAGGGGGGCCAGAGGAGGTCATGCTGGGGGTCCTCAGCTGGAACCTGGGGGGCTCGCGGGCGATAAGATCCTCGAGCTCACCCGGAATTTCGATGACGACCCCGTCGTTTCGAGAATTCATGTTCTTTTGCTACAAGAGGTAGTGACGGATGCAGGACTGTACTTTGCCGCGAAGTATGACTGGGTCCTTGTGTACGGCAAGAAAGAGGGAACTTGGAGAGGAGAGGGAATACTCTACCACAGCAGCAGGGGATTACACCACCACAGCAAAGTCCACACCCATGCACTGAGCACCACCATACGATGCCCACGAACACACAGCAGATGCAGATTCCTTGCAGCCCACCTGCCACACCACGCCACTGTGGAGGAAGCTGTGGCCCTCCTGGCCGAATGGGGGGAGGCCACGCCCAAGACCAAAGGCAAACTCTGGATCCGGATGGACGCGAATGAGACGTTCACCACATCGGATGGGGGAGGCCTCCTGGCACACACCAGCAGGGGGGAAGAAGTCCTCATATGGGCGACCTCCTTGGATGCCCGCCTCCGCCGCAAGCCCTGCAGCCGCGGACCGGGGGGGTCCACACAAGCAGACACCAAGCTGCCTCTGACGACGATGCGGTCTGGGCAATGGCCTCCGAGCGTCCCGCCCACCCACTGCAGCAGCCCAGGTGGGGCCCGCGACGCCTCGCGGGCGATTATCAAGAACTACTGGCCAGCCGCCCCCCCGCCATCGGGGCGGACCCACAAGCCGACCTAGCAAAAGCAGCTCGAAGCATCACAGTGCCAGGGGGAGGGTTCGATAGATTCCGCGAAAGCAGGCAACTCCAAGCCCAGCGGCGAGCAACCCACCGACTCCCACAGGGGGGGCAGGTAGCACGGACGGCGTGGAAAGCAGTGAGCAGAGCGCGCAAACAAGAGCAACGGGCGTGGCAACAGGGCCAGCCAGGGGAATTGGCGAGCCAAGCGAACCCTCGACCACCACAGCAGCAGGCAGGGCTGGGAGCACCGGCTTCTTGACGACATCCGCTGGCAGAAGCACCTCACCCAGCACTTCCGCAGCATCTTTCACAAGGTGCCGCAGAGCCACACGGCGGCCAAACTCCACATACTGCGGGAAGCACTCACGAGCATGCAAACACACCCCGTGGAAGCCTTTCACGGAGGATGAGCTCCAGCTGGCAACTGCCACATGGCACCGGGGGAAAGCCACGGGGCCAGATGGGGTGGCACTGGAGGCACTGCAAGCAATGCTGCAACACCCACGCTGGACCGGCCGCCTCCAGTACCTCACACGCCCCATTACTTTGTCGTCGGCCGTGCTCAAATGGTTCGGCCAAACTACTCCTGCTCCGAGGGGGCCGCCAGCTTCAGGAGGGGGACACCTACCAATGGGCGCGGCGAGGACGGCAAGGCACTGGGGAGTGTGGGTCTGGTTGGTTCGCCTCGACATCCGCAAGGCGTTCGACTCCGTATGCCTCGTGGCAACCAGAGTTGGCAAATTGCTAGCCACAGGGGGGACGGCCATGGGGGGATCCCCCTGGGAAGCACGTGCTTGGCTTGGACTACTTGAACCCCGTGAACTACGGGTTGCCATCGGCAACGGGGTTCGCCAGGGGTCCCCCGATAGCCCTGTGCTCTTTGCTGCCATCATAGCCACAGCGCTGGACGAGGTCCTCACACGCACAGCCAAGCACTTGCCGCCAGTGGGGGGCCCGAACCCCCCCCAATCCGGGGGGGCGTTCATGGATGACATTTACCTTTGGAGTCATGATCGTGACCACCTGCAGCGAACACTCACTGAGCTTGAAGTTCGGTTTGCGAAGGACGGCCTCTCCGTCCACCCCGGAAAGACCGGAGGGGGGGGGGGAACTTCAGGGTGGGGGGACAGGATGTGGCGTGCCAACCTTACGGCACAGTTATCACGGCCCTCGGCTCCCCCTTCACCTTTGCCGAGCCAGTGGCAGCCATCACAGCCGCCATGAACGAGCGCGCCCGGAAGGCGTTTCACAAGCACAGCAAACCATGGTGCGGAACGCCGCACTATGGGCAAGCCAGTCCTGGCCCATAGTGGAAACCCTCCACAAAGCCGTCAACAGCACACAACTCAGGCACATCCGCGCCATGATGCGGGGAAGCCCGGCACCCCGGGGAGTCGTGGGTGGACTGGAACAACCGCACCCTCCGACGTGCTCGAGTCCAGCTGCATCAGTCGGGGGAGCCCCGGTGGAGCACTGAGGGGGGGGCTGCCATGCTCAGTTGGAAAAACCTGCAATGGTGGAAGCGCGAGCAAAGTATTCCGCCCAGCTAGGGGGGCAGGCGCCACAAACACAGATTCAACCCGGACTCGGGCCCGGAGCGACAGATCGTTGCTGCTGTGGGGGGCCTAGCATGGATGCAAACCGTGCAGGACAGAGCAGCATGGAACGGGCTCACGCACGACTTTGTGGCGCGCTTCGACGTGCCGTGGGCTTCAGGCAAGCAAGGCAGCCTCGACAACATAGCACCCAACCGGGGGCAGGCACAGCGGTCCTCTCAGCCAATGAAGCGCCAGCTGACAGCATAGGGGGGACAGCACGCAGCCCACGCCCCCATGACGGGGGCTCACTTCACCTGCCACTACACCACGCCACCCACGACACCACCGAGGGGCAAAATACAGACAGAAGAGAGAGAACCTGCAGTTTCACGTTTCACCGGTGCCTGCAAGCAACCTGTTTCATGTGCACCTGCAGTCCACGAACAACATGCAATCATGTCGCGAAGTTCGAGCCAGGGGGAGGAACTGAGAGACGGCGTCAAGCAGTCTCCCGCTGCTCACAGCAGTTAGCCGGCAACTCGTTTGGCAGCCTAGTCGCAGCCATGAAGCCAATTCGCAACATGATCGTGGTGACCTGTGGCCTAGTGCTGTGGGCCATGGTCTTAGCCTCGGAAAAGGCCCCGCCAGGGGGGGAGGGCGCAACGTGCGCCTGGGGCAGCCAGCCCCGCCACGAACCGTGGAAGCAGCAGTGGGGGCCAGACGAACCTATGCCACTCTCCAACGACGGCAGCCCACCCGGTGCACCGGTGCCACAAGATGACGACAGCCCCGCCACGGGTACAGTGGGGGGAGCGCTGGCCTCCCAGCCGACAGGGGGGCAAGCACAACTGGTATCACCACAGCAGCCACCGGAGCAGCCAATGCAACAAGCCACACCCACAGCAGCAGCGTGGACTACCAGCCCGCCATGGCAGCCGACCCAACAGGGCACACAGCCAAGTGCCCACCATCAGCCGACAGCACAGGCCACGCCAGAGGCCCCAACTCACCTGCACGGTCCACAGGAGGCGGCAGCAACCACCGTCTACTACACCCCAGCCCAGCGAGCAGCCAACGCCCACGGATACTACCCTCCACCGTACGACCCAGACACCGACCCGTGGAACATCGACGACCACCAGCCAGCACAGCAAACCACGGGGGGATCCAGCTCCAGTTCCAGCTCCATGCCACCGCCCCAGCAACCACACTGCCCGCCGCAACTGCCACCAGCACACACACGACATGCAGCCGACCAAATCCTGGCGCTACACCTGCATTACCAAAGCATTCTACAAGCAGCAGGCAAACAATACCCAACCCTCCCGGGACATGGGCTCTCGCCACGAGCCCTCCTCGCTATGGCCTATCAGACCGCAGAGCTCCCTCCAGGAGCCTACTGGCCCAGCGCCACCAACCAGCACGGATACACACTGCAGCACGGAGCCACCACCCAAGCACCGCAACTGCAGCAGGCCCCCCAAAGCCCCGAACCGTCCACCTCCGCCAACAGCAGCCCAACCTGCACTCGCAGCGAGCCCGGAAGCTGGCCCAGCACTGCATCGCCAGAAGCCAGTGACCCAAATGAGGAGGACGACGCCAGTGAACCATGCGACCCAGACCAGCCCTGTGCAGCAGCCCAACCACCACCGCCACCAACAGCGGACCGGAACCACGATGGCGCCGACGGGACTCCCAACAAAAACAGCAGCAGCAGCCACCACCTGAGCAAGAGCCGGGTTCCACTCCACGACCACCGGATGCTATGCCTACGGCACCAACACACAGCAGCAGCTCGGCAGCAGCGGCGCGTGCCCAAAGCCCGCCAGAGGAGGAGCAACCATCGGCAGGAGACCAAGACACGCCAGCACCGGTCCAGAGCGACACCCAGCAACCCGCCCCAGCAGAGGAGCCCGGCGCCCAGCAAGAGCAAACAGCCAGCGCAGCGGACAGCATGGGGCAGCCCACCGCAGACGGCAACACCCACCCACGAGCAGTGGCAGTGGGGAGGCGGGGACACCACCACCGGGGGAGGCCGCAAACACGAAGGGGGGGGGGGGAGCACAGGATGCGCGGTAAGAGATACAAAGCCGCCGTACAAACAATTTTCGAAATCAAAGGCATCCGAAAGCCCAGCGGCAAAACCTGGCGCCAAGTGGGCTGGTGGGTGAACCTCGCAGAAGAAGACGAAGAGGATGCATGGGAAGCTGCCATACACGAAGCAAGAGCCCAGGCGAACAGGCAACAAGGGGGCAGGGGGGCGGGCAGCCACAACCCACAGCAGCACGCCGCGGACATGGCTCGCTTCGCCCAGCTCCTGAACAAGCACCTCGAACCACGAGGAGGGGGCGCCACAAGCAGTGGAGGGGGGACGGCCACCGGGGGAGGCAACACGGCAGCCGCCACCAGCACACAAACACAACAACAGCAGCAGCCAACCAGACAGCCCCCTACCACCGCCCACAGGGGGACCAAGCAGCAGCCACCAGAAGAACCGCGCCGCCGTAGAGCCACAGGCTCAAGCACCGAAGCAGTGGGTGATGCGAAGCGAGTTGAGGGGCACCTCAACATCTGGCTGCTTAGCCTGGGGGCGGGCAAAACGCCCCGCAACATGCCGCCCGAACTGCCAGTGGCACCGGGGACTTTTCTGCACCTGCGCTACTTGGGACCAGGGGGGGCCTGGGCAGCAGTGGTCCTCCACGAGCAAGACCGGCGAGGCCCAGTCTACTTTTCCGGACAGCGTCGGCCCTTCGCTAGGGCCAGGCAGCAAGCACGTGACCCAGCTTCCGGGGATCGCCATCTAGGCCCCGGAACGGCAATGGTCCTCTTTCCGCTAGGGGCACCAAGTGCGATGGCTTCTCTTCGTGACCGCAGTTGAGCACACAAGTATAGGCTGGTCGGAGACGAACGCCATCCGCCTGCTCGCGGGGGAGTCCTACCTTCTATGGCAATGCAAAGGAGAACGAGGGTGGGAGCAAAAGTGGGTCGTCGGACCGGCGGCGCAGGAATACTTTGCAGACTGGAGGAGAGAGTCAACCGTGGGAAGGGGGGCCGAGCGCCTGCCAAGTACAGGTTTCTCGGACGCGAGCAACTGGGAACACCTTGGCTTGCGCCTGATGCCGCGCAGAGACCGGGGGGGACCAACCAGAGGACACAGAAGAAGAACCCCCTGCAGAGGGGGAACCTGACGACGAAGACAGCGCCCTCATGCAGACCAACATGGGGGGCGCAAGCAGCAGCAGCAGCGCGGCCGCCATCCCAGAAGGTTGCCTCGCCATCGCCATGGTCCGGCGCTGTCTTCGGAGACTAGTGACATCGACCTGGCCGAGGACATGGCTGCGCGCATTGCCATGCTAAGCCAGCCTCGAAGCTAGCCGAAATTCATGACGAAGGGGGGCTACAAGCGCTGGAGGCACGAGAGGGGGCATACCTCGCCATCAAAGCCATGACCAGTGCCCGCGACAAAGTACTGGTGGGGGACAGAGACTGGCTGTCAGCCAACTGGCTCTGGACCATCGCATCCCTCCTCGAAGAGGGGGATGCCTTGTCGACGTGTGGAAAGCCAAGCAACACCTTCGAGAGCTGGGGGGGCTGCTGCCTTTCCTAGCTGACAACGATGCAGACCAAGCACGACGACTGGTGGCGTCCTTGCTAGCGTGCCAAGAAGGGACCACCTTGATGGTGGACAGCCAAGGGAACGCCGAGACTCAAGAAGCAGAGGAGCCCCCCAGCCTGTTCGCGGTCTCCGCCCCACTGTCGGGGGGCCATGTCACTGTCGGTGAAGAGGGGGAGCCTATGGAAGCTGCACTGCTGCCTGACCCGGAGCGGCCCAACGATACCGCAGCTGAACCAGAAGGAGGGGCTGCAAATCTGCCAGAAGCAAGTGGAGCTACGCCATTGGAGCCCCTACCCGCTGCCGATGCCGCAGGGGAAGCAAGCCAGGGAGCACTGGGGGCTACGCAACTGGACGCCAACGCAACGGGCAACTCCACTGGGGGGACAGCAGCTCGACCTGCATTCCCGGCTTTCTGGAACCTGCGGCGGACGATGGCGACGCTGGATGTGCCGTCGTCAGCTGAGCGTGACCCCGATAGCCTACCTAGTGAACTTGAGCCTCCCAGTAAAGTGCCGTCCGCCCAAGAAATCGCGGATGGACATGCACTTCAGGAACAGGTGGAGGCTGAGCTGGAGGCCTATGGCCGAGCCAGCCGAAGGAGGCTACATAGCCCAGCGGGGGCCAGACGAAGAGTGAATCGAGAGTGGACTGATGACAGTGACTAGGCATTGCACGCTTTTTGCTTGTGTGTACTGCTCCCCGCCTGGGCCGGGCCTCAGTGTACAGTTTGCCAGTCTTTGCTTGCATGCTCAATGGGGGGAGCCAGACAGAAGTACAGAGTCGGGGGCTCAGCAACAGGGGAAGCACAGGCACCGACCGGTGGGGTGTTAGAAGCTTAGCCCTCGAGGCGGGTTGGGGGTTAGTGTAAAGGGGGGCTAGAACGGTCGGCCAGCGCATGTCTCCGTGGAGTTTTTATCTTTTCTCACCGCCCGAAATTCCCCGGTGCGCGAAATCGCGCGGGGGGGAGGGTGCTCGCGCGTCCGACCCTCCTGGCCGAGCTGAAGAAGAGAGGGAGAGAGAGAGAGAGAGAGAGACAGAGAGAGTAGGCGACGTGCCCTACCATACATCAAGAGAGGGGAAAAACCCCCGTGGCGTCAGCCTCTTTCCCGACCCGAACATCAAGACATGCTTACGGCATTGCGCAACGCCCAAAACT